TGGCACACCAGGCACGACATGAGCTATCCTTACCCCGGCCGGCAGGGTCATGGGGCCCCCTATCCCTCCATGAGCCGTGGAGACGATCCAGAAGTCAGGGCTAGTCAGGACAGTCAGTGGCTTGGCCAGCGTCAATCACCATACCCACCACACTCTTCATCCGCTTCCAGCTCCATGCCCCCCATGGTTAGCCGGCAACCATCTTCCTCCTACCAATCTCCTCCAGCAATGCCAAACCACATCTCTCGTGTCCCAAGCCCTGCACCATTCCCACGGTCTGTGGGTGGCTCTATGTCACCCAATAAGGCTCACATGATGGCCTCTATGAAGCAGATGCAAAAGCCGGGTGGCCCAGGCTCCATGCCGAGTTCTCAAAGTGGTGGTATTCCTGGGCAAGGCTTCCCAACAATCCATCGGGATTACCCATTGGACTCTGTGGAGGCCACACAGCCCCAGATTAAACCCCGCCGAAGGTTAACTTCCAAAGACATTGGTATGAAACCCTTTTCCAGTGAAAATATTATTTTTATTTAATTGGCCTGGTTATGGCAAGGTTCTTAAAAATGCTTGTAAATCTTGTAGGCACACCAGAGGCTTGGCGTGTGATGATGTCCCTGAAGTCTGGGTTGCTTGCAGAGAGTACATGGGCTCTAGATACTATAAACATATTGCTCTATGATGACAACACTGTGTCTTCCTTTGGCCTATCTCAGGTAAGTATCCCAGGCACTGTTGGGTTTTTAGGCTTAAAATTTAAAAGGGTAGGAAATTATTGCAGAAGTCTTGTATCACTTTTTGCAATTGTGTGGTAATATTTAATAGCACTTTATGATAAATAATAGGCTATAATAATGTAATGGATTTTGTGTCTTTTGCTTTTCTAGATGCCCGGTTTCTTGGAGCTCATTGTTGAATATTTCAGAAGGTGCTTAATAGAGATTTTTGGGATCCTTGAGGAATACGAAGTTGGATCAGAGGGTCAGAAAACTCTCCTCGGCTCATGTTCAGAACCTACAGAAAAAGAGCAACCTTCCAATCCAGACCTAAAAAGCCAATCCCTTGCAGAACAAGTGGAGAAGCAATTAGATACGGAGCCTGAGAAACCTCAGCCGAGCAGCTCGGCAGCACTCGTTATAGAGAAAAAGGAAGAGTTGGCAGAGGCTAAGGCTGATGAAGAAGAGAACAAAATTGGTACAGAGCCATGCCCTCCAGTGGAGCCCAGACCCAAGCAAGCCAGTAAGTTTGACAAGCTCCCAGTGAAAGTTGAGGAGAGAGAGGCTGTGGCTGATTCTGTGGAGGATCGATCAGAGCTGCTAGGCCTGGCCGGGGAGTTCACCAGTGGTCTGCTACATTGGAAAGCAGGCGGAGGAGACTCCACTGCCCACATCCAGACCCATTTAGAGAGTCGTGGGGAAGAGGAAGAACAGAAGCCCTTAGAGAATCAGGAAGATGGTGTGCAGGCACTTGGAAAAGAAACGGTTGAAGAGGAGCCCAGGAGGAAAGAGGAACTGAAAAGGGAACTTCCAGGCCCTTCAGAGGAAAACTTGACTGCCACTGTAGATGACATGCTAAGTTCTCGTCCAGGGCTGCTATCAGGAGGTGAAACTCAGACATTCCTCTTCCGCAACAGAGAGAACAACAGCAGCATTACTTTGCTGGAAGATGAGCCCCGATGCTGGGATGAAGCCCCTCTTTCAGTAGCCGAGGGCTGGCAAGATGAGTTGGCCAAGCGCTGCATCTGTGTGTCCAATATCATTCGTGGACTTTCCTTTGTCCCTGGCAATGACAGCGAAATGGCTCGGCACCCAGGTTTAGTGCTCATTCTTGGAAAACTAGTGCTTCTGCACCATGAGCACCCTAAAAGAAAAAGGATGGCGCCTACCTACCAGAGAGAGGAAGAGCGAGGTCTGGCTTGCAGCAAGGACGAATGGTGGTGGGACTGCCTTGGTGCCTTGCGTGAGAACACCTTGGTCACCCTTGCCAACATTTCAGGACAGCTAGACCTGTCTATTTATCCAGAAAGTATCTGCCTTCCGATTCTGGACGGGCTGCTCCACTGGATGGTGTGCCCTTCAGCAGAGGCCCAGGACCCCTTTTGCACGGCAAACGGCTTCTCCTCGCTTACGCCGCAGAGGCTTGTGCTGGAGTGTCTGTGCAAACTGAGCATCCAAGACCCTAATGTTGACCTTCTGCTGGCCACTCCTCCTTTTAGCAGACAAGAGCGCCTCTTCGCCACGTTAGTGCGGCATGTCGGTGAGCGAAAGAGTCAGGTGTGCCGCGAGATGGCCGTAGCTGTTCTCTCCAATCTTGCACAGGGTGACCCGACAGCTGCCCGAGCCGTAGCCCTGCAGAAGGGCAGCGTGGGAGCCTTGATAGGCTTCCTCGAGGACAGTGTTTCCATGGCACAGTATCAGCAGAGCCCTCACAGTCTCTTGCACATGGGACACTCCACCCATCCCGAGCCGCCCAGCATCAACATGATGTGCCGAGCCGCCAAAGCCCTGCTGGCCATGGCCCAAGTGGAGGAGAACAGGCCCGAGTTTGTGCTCTTCGAGAGCAGGCTTCTTGATATCTCGCTGTCCTCCGTGCTGAACTCTGGCGTGGCGGCCATCCTGTGTGAGGTACTGTTTAAGCTTGGCCGCTCGTGACACGCACAAAGGAGCCTAGAGTGCCATCATGGGAACGCGCGGCTGAGCTGAGCCACAGAGATCACACACAACTGTTGGTGTTATATTTTTATTTAAGGAAAAGAACACAAACAAAAATTGTTTTTACATACAAATGAATATATAGAGAATATATATAGCTCCTCTGCCCCATTTCCCAGTTTTCATTTTGGATTTTTAAATGATTTTAATACAGATATTTAATACTTGGTCTTTTTGGTTTTTTTCTATTCTTTTTTTATTTGTTTTGTTTAGTTTCATCTGTGTATTTTTTGTTCATTTGTTTTAACCAAAGTTTGCATCTGATACACGTTTTTAGAGTATTTTGCTCTCAGAATGTTTTTAATTGTTTTGATGCAGTGTTTTGTTCGTTTTCTTGTGGGACTTTGTTTATTCGGGGAATGCAGATTTATTTAAATTGTGAGACATGTTGTAGATAGAACTTCTCTTGCAAAGTGTTGCGATAAAAGAAAAAAAAAAACAAGAAAAAAAAAAACACTGATTTTAAGACATACATGTATACAGCTCTGAAAAAAGCATTGTGCAATAGATTTAGCTGGCTCAGAGGGGAGATGATGAAATGTGAATGACCACAGGCAATGTTCTGATCTGACCACCAGTGTTGCACTGTTTCACCACACCAGTATCTGAGGGTCAAGCGAGTGTTGGTTTCTAATCTGACTTGCTTCCATTTAAGTGCAGCCGCAGAGGGTCCTCTCTCTGACGGCAAACTCAAAAGTGCTTCGGTTACCCCTCTTCTCTATACTATATCCACGGGTCAATTTGTATATAGAAACTGTACATTAAATGGGCCCCCTTTCACATTTTTGTTTCCTCCAAGAGATGTGGTATTATACAAAGTGAGTAGTTAATGCTACATGCTATTGACATTTGCAAATGAATATTAAGTCATTGTTTTCAGGTGAGGATAGTCTACAAACATGTAAGGGGTCGTTCACACAGGGTGACTTCTTGCGTTCGATCTGCGCCATTTTATTTAATTGTTGGTCATATGTGCACATGCCAAACAGACACATTTGGTCATTGTGCTGCACCTTGTTGTTTTCGGTGTCTTTAAAGCCCAGCGTCAAGTTGAAAATAGTTAGTATTTTGAAGGGGTACACAGCAGATCAATGTCGGTTTTACAACAATGGACCAATCAGGTGCTGGAAAAGCATCTCCAGTGGATTAAAGCATGTACATTAGCAATTGTGTATGGGATTTAATGCGCCTGTAAACGCACTTGTTCAGTTTTTAATTCAAGAATGTATTCTGTGTGAACGCCCCCAAAGACTTTCCTGTATGTCCTTTAATGAAGTGCTGTGTGACGAGAGATAGCAATGGCTCCCTCTAATGGCCTTAGATTTTTGAAATTACAGGCTAACTGAAAAGACGTCTGATGGCATAAATGTAATTCAATGTGAAAGTTACCCCAAAATGACTTAATGATTTTAACAAAAAATATGTACAACTCTTTATGTAAGCTCTTTTTGCTCCATATGATTTGATGACCATTGTTTATTCAGTATAAAGTCTTTATACATGTTCCACATGTTAAAAGTAAATGTACATGAAATTTGGTCGAGCACTGTGAACGTTGTTCTTCAGTGTTGTTTTTATTTATTTTTTGTGTCACAGAGAGGCCAAAAAAAGTCACACAAGTATGTACATCATCAATATTGTAATATTTAAGAAGCAAAAAAACTGAATTCCTGTCAGTTAAGGTTGATAGGTATATTTTTGGCCGGTCTACCAACCCCGTGCTCAATGCTGCATTTGTCACATCCACATTTTAACCAGATTACATGACCTAAAAAAAAAAGCAGCAGCACAAAACACCCTTACATTGGCGTACTCGAAGGGAGGGCCGGTTTTTAGCTCTTCTTTAGCACATGTTTTTGTCCTTTGCCTCTCTTTTCTAGGAAAATGTGTTTTTCAGGGACAGCCTGGAAACATCTTTCAAAGATTATTAAGAGATGCTTTTATTAGACCATGCAATCACATGAACCCAATTTAACACAATAGCTGCTTTAATTCGATACGTTTAATGTATAAACAGCACCAGCCAAAGGGCAGTAATGTTATTTGCAAGGACCACACAAATGCTCCAAGAGTATGGTTCCCAAAAAAAGACGAAGGCCAATGCTTTTAGTTGGACTGCAAACAATTGACCCGGCAGATGTGAATTAAATAACTCATAATTGAGACTGCAGTATGTACAAACATAATACTGCCAAATCTTTTGGCTCAGGTCTTGTAAAATCCAGTGTGGTACAAGAGATTAAGGCAAACACAACCCCGCCGAGTCCTTCAGTAAAGCGTTCTCCAGTTGAACTGACCCGTTGCCTCACACTTAACCAGACATGACCATCAGATAAATGGTATTTCCAGACAGTCGGTTAAGGCTGCATTCTTGATAATAAATTGCGATTTCTACTCATTTTGACTTGAAGATGGAATTCCAGTCAAATGGAGCAGAGTTCGTCTCTTCATTTTTGGGGATTGCGGGGAAAATGGATTGCATTTTCTGGCGAAAATCCTTCAGCTGCCATAGAGAAACGATATAGATCAATCAAAGGTTGCAGATTATAGTGGGAAATAAAAGAAAATGGGTACATGGCATTTAAAGGCATCACTTTCATCAGGTACGTACACTGTGGACACCCAGGGCCTTCCAAACGGTGAGGCTGAGGAGGCCGACTCCACACCAGGCGTACAGCGACCCCCATCCCAACGCCCGCAGCGCCAGCGACGCTCCGCTCTCCGGCACCGCAGCAGTTCCCACTACACCCTGAGCACATCCACAGCAGACGACCGGCATTAGGGCTGCACAATTGATCAAAATATTGCAAATGTACATACCACGATTTGCATATCGCAACAGTTTTTGATAACTGCATGATTTCAACACACCGTAAGATTGCAAGTTTTAGGTTGATGCAGAGAGTAGACTGGACACATGACTGTTACATACTTGCAATGTTTATATGTTAATAAAAGACTAAATTAAATCTGTTCGTCATGTAAAGCGATCGTGTTTTCTCAGAAAATTTGGACTCAAATTCATATGGATTAGTTTTACAATTTTACACTTGGAAGCATCAAATTGTCAGTTGTGTAGCTGTCAATGGAGGGACAGAAAGCTCTCCGATTTGATCAAAAAGATCTTCATTTGTATGCAGAAGAGGAACGAAAGTCTTATGGGTTTGGAACGACATGAGGGTGAGTAATAAATGACAGAATTGTCATTTTTGGGTGAACTAACTCATGAAGGTTTTTTAATGCAATAAGCAAAGTACTCGTGCGCACAGAAAGCCGCCTCTCGGACAGCATGTGATCCCGAATTTCGCAGATTATATGGCCAAATACACACAAAATTATGTCAAAATACTCTTGATGAGTATTCACATCAACGCATTCAGTCATGTCTTAAGTAGTGGACTAAACAGTTGAGAAAGAAAGCGCGTGTAACAATATACCGGATCCGTGTAGATCTTAGTTAAAGTGACAGCAACCTAATAAACCTGCTTTAACCGTCTGTGCTCGATGTTAAATCATTCACAGCTCTTAACTGAATAACTTTTGTAGCTTTAATAAGAATTAGTAAATATTTAATTCATACAGTGAAGACTAAGCCGTGCTTTATGTAAATGTAATGCTACAGTAAAACACTGCTGTTTACTCTCGGAAGTTGTTAGGGATGCTTTCTTCTCACAAAAAGAATGGAAACATGCATGTTGATTATATTAGAGCATCATCGTATCGCACATCGAATAATATAGCATTATTTAACGAGTTATCATATTTTTCTTCCATATCGTGCAGCGCTAGTATGCTATAACTACACCTACCACAAAGTACCACAAGTCAAACTGTTCACAACACATTTTACTTTTATATTCTGATGCATTATGAATGAAACAGGAAAAAGTAATAAGAGCCTCGATTTTATCTATCAGGCATTAAGTGGATCATGGAAACTGAGCGTTAATTGATTCATAACAACATCCGGAAGTCATTTCAGGGGAAGAACGCGCTGCTGTGTTTCGGTAAACACTTTCTTAGGAATAACAGACACTGATTGATTTTCCACAACCAAAGCCAGTATTCAAATGTGCATTAATTTTGATTTCATCCTGACTTGAGCTTCACCAAACCCCATTTTGTCTCAGGTTTTGGGAGCTTTCGAGAATATAAAGCCTCAAAGACAACCGAAATGGAGAGATGTTGCAGAGAGTAAGTTTTTATATTTTGATGAAATATTACATACTTTTTAGACATGCATAAGATCAGAAACCTATTTTAAGAAATTAAAGGGATAGTTCACCCAAAAAATTACCCCATGAGTTACTCACCCTGAAGCCGTCCTAGGTGTGTATGACATTCTTCTTTCAGACGAATACAATCGGAGTTATATTAAAACATGTCCTGGCTCTTCCGAGCTTTATTATGGCAGTGAATGGGTATATATTTTTTAAGTCCATCAAAGCGCATCCATCCGTGATAAAAGTGTCCCAAACGGCCCTGGGGGGTTAATAAAGGCCTTCTGAAGTGAAGCGATGCGTTCGTGTAAGAAAAATATCCATATTTAAAACTTTATCGACTACAATAACTAGCTTTAGTTGTGTATGACGTAGGTCGGGTGTAGGAGTAGCGTAAGCTGGGCTGGGCAAACGCGTTCCTCATTACGTTGTGCGTCAAGTTCAAGTGTTACTCTTTTGGCGCAAGTCGACTTGCGTACGGCCGTCTAAAGCTCGGAAGAGCCAGGACATTTTTAATATAACTCCGACTGTATTCGTCTGAAAGAAGAATGTCATATACAGGCTAGGTTGTGTACAGAAGTCTCAAAAACGAAACAGATGTTTCAGTCAGTCAGACCGTTAACAACATTAACTGCTTTAATGTAATTTAGTCTTTTTACTGCTCTGCATATCACATTAGCTGTTATTAGAGCCTCGCATGTTGCAGCCATCGAGGAACGTGCTTTACGTCTGAGAATATGCAGTCGTATTTTACAGGTTTTTTTTAAATAGTAATAATGTAATACAAATTTGACAGATAAAATCCTTATAGCCATTTTTAATGAAATTATTCTTAATACATTTTAATATCATTTTCTTTTCACTTCCTGAAGAAAATGAGTAGTACAATGATATGGTGCTACTATGCCCACCCTCAAATTATATTATTATGATATTCTGGCCCCTATATATATATATATATATATATATATATACTGTATATGTATAAATATATATACACATACATACATATATAAATAAATTAATATATATATTATATATATAAACACACACATATATACATGTCATATATATATACATACATAATTTATATTTATATGTGAGATCTTTCACCCTTTTATTGTCTGCCTGGCGAAAACTGGAAATCTAATCAGTCTTAAAAAAAGAGTAATACCACATTTATCCTCCACAAGCTGCATATTTTGAGATTTCATCCATGTTGACAGTGCCCTGGACCCAGAGCTATATAGCAGGACAGTACAGATCTGGTCAAGTGATCTGTCATCAGTGGACCTGGACCAGACATATGATCCGTCTCCTCACCGCTCTTATATTGGATTTAGCCACTTAAAAACATTTTTGGCAAGACGCGTGTTTACTGATGTGGGATAACGGGCTAAAAATAGGAATGCAAAAAGCAGACAAACAGACGAGTCTGTTCATTTCTGGGTGTACCGGTATGTTCAAAACAAGTGATAAAACAGAATGGATGTCAGCATTTACGCGATGTCTAACTGTGTTAAGTTGAGGGACGGGAGCCTGGCGTGCTCTGCTGGTTCCAGGAATAACCAGAGCACAACACTGCTTTCAGAGAACTAGATTATACTGGAAACAGAGGAGCACTATGATGACGGCACTTTTTTAAAATATTTCAGGACTATGATTAAATATAACACAATATTAAATGGGACCCAACAATTTGGCTAAAAATCCAATCGTGATTACTTTAAAGTTTAAACCATTCTGTGATTGTTTTAACAAATATGGATATTGTAATTTGCACTGAGATTTGATTAACATCTTGTGTTTTACTCACTCTGCTGAACTAAGATCTCAGTTTTCTTTGAATCTGCACTTAAAAGTACATTTTTGGTCCACTTAATTGTGACAGGCTCTTTTTGCAGCAGCACTTGTCGAGTAATAATTATAATAATAATAAGAAAAGTATATTTTTTAATACTTTTTATTATGACAGGGTTACTTTTCATTTTTGTTGGAACACTGTTGAGTAGAATATTATAGTTATTGTTAATAATTACAATAATAATGATATGATTTTGTTATTTTACTTATGACAGGGTCATTTTTCATTTACACTTCTGTTGGAACACTGTGGAGTTGAATATTATAGTGGATAATAATAATAATATTAATAATAATAACAATAATAACATGATTACAGGTAATAGGATTTTTTTATTCCACTTGATTATGGCAGGATCCTTTTTCATTTACACTTTTGTTGGAACACTGTTGAGCTGAATATTACAGTTGATGTTGTTATTAATAATAATTTTAAAAACATTATTAATAATATATATATTTTTTATTCCTCTTAATTATGATAGGGTCATTTTTCATTTACACTTTTGTTGGAACACTATTGAGTTGAATATTATAGTTGATGTTATTGTTAATAACAGTATTGCTGATACTAATAATAACATGATAAATAATTATATGATAAAAAAAAACATTTTTAATTATGGTCATTTTTCATTTACACAATTTTTTGGAAAACTCATGAGTCAAACATTACTCGATAACAATAATAATAAAATTTTCCGACAGAAATATATTTAATTCATAATTTGTCACTTTCACATGGCATTCTGGTGTAAAACTGAAGGAAGTGTTTCCAGTTGAGAGATCCCGTTACCTTACTGAACCACTCCGGACTCTTCTTCTTAGCCATGGCCAGAGTGGAGCCGAAGCCTGCGATCACACCCGCTGTGCCGACGCTAGCCAGGAACACACCACCTGAACACAACACACTCAGATCAACACTACTGTACCATAACGTGACAACAATACACCTCGGCGATATCATAATAGCCATTGGATTTAAAACAGAAGGGACCATGACAGCGTGTGGACTGAGAGCAGCCAGACTCGTGCGTTCCTCTTCTACACACAACATGACAAACACACAGTGGTCAATGTATTTAATAATAATAATAATAATAGTAACAAAAACATGGTCACAAAGGAACCAAACCTTTGAGCAAAAAAGCACTGAAAATTTAATTTGTTAAAATTTGCCAGGATTTAGAAATATGTAGGAATTTATAAATTATAAATTTATAAATGGTAAATGGTATTAATTAATAATTAAATATTAATTGAATGTGCTAAATCCAAGTAAATATAGTGTGCATTTACATTAAACAATGCAAAAATTAATTTACATCTCTGAAAAAGTTTGATAAAAATGTTTAATACAATTCTAGCTTAACCCTGGTGATCAAGCATATTTCCAGAAGTTTGTAATTTGTAAAATTTCTGCTGTTTGTCTATTGAATCATCTTTTCGTTCAGCTCGAAACAGACGGTTCTCAGTTCAATGAGTTGTTGACTCGAGAATCACTCGAACCGATTCAGTTTGATTCGCGAACGAACCGTAAGGACATGGCTCGTTAAACAGTTCATTGAAAAGACTCGACTCAAATAAAGATTTGTTCACGAATCGTACATCACTACATGCGAATCAAAAGTGCCAGAAATGTAGACTGTATGACTGTACGAATACATGGACCATACCGTCATCATACATCATATGACATTTAACATTTATATTGAAGTTTTTTCGATATAATATTATGTGACTAATCAGAAGATAAGTTAACTAAATTGCTGCTTCATGAGTTACGTCAACAGATAATTCATAAAGCGTGCGCGTGTTCATAACAATGGTCGCATATGCTATCAATATCAATACATCAAACCTTTAATCAATTGTGATTTGTCGTCTTCGAGAGTGTCATTGACTGTCCCGCTCGCGCTCGCCTGCTCCACTGACATCTTGAACGGGTGCGACTCACACACCAGTCCGGTGGAAACACGTCAGGCGGAACCTTTCACATTACACATTACAGCTAGTTACGTTAAAAAGTGGATTTGATTTACAGCATTTCAATAGACAAAAATGTCGTTATAAGTGCGCGTACTGTTACATTCTGATTATTAATTGATTGAAACAAGAATAAAATCCAAATAATGGCAGAGTAACAATAATGCTGCAGAAGTTTATGAGTGATCAATAAATAAGTGTGCTGATGTAGATACAGTTTTGTGTGTTTACAATTTAAAAAAAAAAAAGTAAAATTTGTTATAACACGTAATGTTATTGAACTAGATATGTGTCTGTGAGAGGAGGACCTGTGAGAGGAGGACCGAGATTCTGCGGATCAGATCGGCTGTTCAAAACCGAGTGAGCTGCCTACCTAGACAGCATTCGGGGCATCACGGACAGAGAGCTGTCTAGTAATGTCTTGTTACAGTAAATATTTATTTTTGTAACATAGTTTTTTATTGATGCTACAAGCTGAATACATTTGGAACCTGCATTTTATTGCAAAAATAAATAAATAAATAATAATATGATGGGGAAAAAAGGCTGTCTAGGTATGGATGTATTTTTGGTTGTTGTAGATTTTAAGACACGTACTCAAAAATGCGGAGTAGATCACTAGGTTTTGAGACCTACCCACAAATACTGTCTAAAGGCATCTCACTTGGTCGTGAGCGAGTGCACGCGAATATGCTGCCTACATAGACAGCTCGTTATGATTTGAGACGCGCCGCTGTTTATAGGGTCATCGTGTGCTGTGAGCTCATGCAGTTCACGCGGTGATCTACTCCATCCACATCCTGCGATATCTCTCCCTCCTTCATCATAATGGATATAGATGATCAAACGCCCACCTTTGCTTGTTTGCTGTTGTGATATCATGCGGCAGAACTAGACATTTAGTTCATGCAATAAAGACCCTCTCGCGAACGGGATTTACGAAGACATCGGAAGGACGTTTTTCTGACGTTATTTTCCTAATCTTTTTAGAAGGATTTAGAACCGCATCAAAGGAGTAACAATCTTTGACAACGCCACATTTCTGGGCATGATGTCCACATGCCTCTGTGTCCCGGAGCGCATCCTGTTGTGTTGAGGATAGACATCTGCAATGAAGGAGTTATCCAAACAAACATACGAACCAAACACTCGGATCTTATTTCATGCCCATCGTTTCGGATCTAAATATTAGCATTTTTAATGTAATGCAATTCAATCACTGAAGATCGCAATAAAACATGGAGCTGAGAAAATGGTTCCTTGATTCCAGTCCCACGCTTTTCCTTGACTGGGTTGTTTAGGCTAATGCTTGCTTCCTCCATCAGACCAGAGATGTTTCTCCGAGACCCAGCTGTCTCGTTAGTTCCTTGAGGACATTTGAGTTACTGATTCACTTGTGCTGCTTTAAAGTTTTGTTTTATTGCTGGTGTGTAAATGACAGGCAACATGCATCTTGGGGTTGAGGAGCCCATCCGTGAGTGCCAGTACAACCAGATCTGCACACACAACTCCTCACCCATGGACACCCCGCACAGCAAGAAGAGGAAGAGCAAAAGGAAATGGCAGGTTTTTCCTGGCCGAAACAGGTTTTACTGCAACGGGCGGATCATGATGGCCAAGCAGACCGGGGTCTTCTACCTTACCATGGTTCTCATTCTGGTGACCAGTGGCCTCTTCTTTGCCTTTGAGTAAGTACTTTGACCCACTGGAGTTCTCTTCCCTCTACCCCAGACACTACTAAAATGTTTGTAGGCCACGGACACTCTTAAACATAAAGGTTTGTTATTGGCATGTGTAGTTTCATAAGGAACCATAAAGGGAAAGTTCACCCAAAAATGAAAATTTACTTGCCCTCATGTCGTCCCAAACCCTTAATCTTATAAAAACACAAATGAAAATCTTTTTGATGAAATCTAAGAGCTTTCTGTCCTTCTATTGACAGAACTACTACTTTGACGCTTCAAAAAAATGTCACACAAAAACTAATCCATATGAATTTAGTGGTTTTGTCCAATTCCAAGCCCCCCCCCCCCCCCCCCCAAATTTAGGCTTTTATTCACATAAACATTGATCAGCGAACATAAACAGAAGCTCAACCGAACCTGCTTGACGTGCAAGAACAAACCTCTTGCTGAAGCTCAAACGTGATGCGTAACACGAGAATGAACATATGGTTCACACTCGTCAGGCGAACATGCTTGAGCTTCAGTTTACTACAACTGATGTGTGAGTTGAATGTTTATATGTAAATAAAAGCCTAAATTCAATCTGTTCATCATATAAAGCGATCGAGTCTCTTCAGAAAATTTGGACTAAACCACTCGATTCATATGGATTAGTTTTACAATGTCTTTATGAACTTTTTGAAGTGTCAAAGTGGTAGTTGTGACTGTCATGGAGCTCTCAGATTTCATCAAAAAGATCTTCATTGGCTTTGGAACGACATGAAGGTGACTAATAAAATGAAATGTATATAATTTCGGGGTGAACTATCCCTTTAAACATCCATAGAACCTTTTTAATGTACAAAATGTTCAGAGAAAGGTTCTTCAAATTAGACTCTTCACACTAAGAAAAATGGTTAAAAACATGAAAGATTCTTTAATGGCCTTTTCTGAATCTTCCATCGTGTTCTTTGAAGGACCTCGATCAGCGCAGTACGTAAATGCCATGGTATATGAATATGGAAATCATTCAGTACTTGAGTTTGATGTGATCATTATGAAGTCCAAAAATAGGCAGTGCTTTCAAAACGTGAAGACTTCCATCCCACATTCATGGAAGTGGACATTATGTAAACAGATCAGTAGTATAGCCTCGTCCCTTCTGTTGTATTTCTCTCCATTACTCTTGATGAAGTGAGCTCTGGGCTTTAATATACCTGGGCAATTGCATGTGGTCTGTGACCCACTCAAGCCGGTGCAGTAATTCACACATGTAATTGAATGACTTCAGTCCACATAACTTCCAACACACTGCAGGCTGTGAGGAACTCCTTGTGGGAAGTTTAACCAACCTAGAGTAGAAACTATTGACGTGTGACATTTGGATTGCTGACATTTCGGAAGATCTTTAGACGAGAGAGCCTCATCCTCAGAGTCTTTGGGGGAGTTTGCAGTTAAAAACCTATATCAGCTGGTATGAAAATGCCTCCCCCCCCCCCCCCCACCCCCCAGACACACTCGAAGCATGTTTGCCTGTAACCCTTGGATGGGTGTTAAAGACTCTCTCAGTGGGATCCTGTGGATAAGAGATGTGTGGAGCAGAGATTTTCCAGTCCCATCCCCCACCTCTCAAACCCCATACATTCCATACCACAACTTCCAAAACACAGACGTGGTGCGGTCCTGTTTCCATGGCAACGGTTTCCCTTTTCCCGATCTTTGTGTGCTTTTGGAGCAGCCCCGTGTCTCCTAGGAAACAACAGGACGGCCCAGCCCACGGTTGTATTTTCTGTGCTTTAGGGTTAGACCTGTCATGCTTTTTTGAAACGATTATAAAGTCATTACAGATGTGTTTGTGAGCCATTTTAACCCAGTTAGCTGAAGCTACAGATGAAAACGTTGGTGAAAGGCAGTCGCGTTGCGCAGTTCAAAGCAAGCCGTTTACTCGTGAATCATTTTAAGCAGTTAATAATGGTTAGGTTGTGTCATGGGCAGGAATAAAAACAGGAGATAGTATTTAGTCAGACTTGTTGACAGCGGACAGGATGGATCAGTGTAGGGCAAGCAGTAAAAATAACTCAAATCAAAGCAATATTCAGTTTAAAACCACCAGTTATGATCTATTGACGGCGTCCTTGACATTTTTACCACAGGAAATAACTTTGTGGGGCAAGACATTCCAGAGTGTTTAAAGGGATACTCCACTTTTTTTGGAAATAGGCTTATTTTACAACTCCCCCAGAGTTAAACTGTTGAGTTTTACCGTTCTTGAATCCATTCAGCCGATCTCCGGTTCTGACGGTACCACTTTTAGCATAGCTTAGCATACATCATTGAAGTGGACAAGACCATTAGCATTTCTCAAAAAAAAATGACCAAAGAGTTTAGATATTTTTCCTATTTAAAACTTGACTCTTCTGTAGTTACATCGTGCACTAAGACCGACGGAAAATGTAAAGTTGCGATTTTCTAGGCTGATATGGCTTGGAACTATACTCTCATTCCTGCGTAGTAATCAACGTAAATCGCTGTTAGTAAGGATAGTTGTAAACCAGTTATGTTCAGTTTACGTCCAGTTTGCTCTTTGTTACCAGCCTGCCTGATTTCTCATTAGTCTCCTTGGTTTCTCATTGATTAGTCATTCTGTTCAACTGTTTCCTAATTGGATCCCTTTGTTCCATGTGTTTAAGCCCTGTGTTTCCTAAATTTAGTTGTCCGCTATTGTCATTGTGAAGGTGATTTGTTCTATTTTGTTCTTACTTAGTTGGTGGATTATAATAAAGACTGTTTCGTTTGTTAATCATTCGTTGTGCGCTTGGCTTGCAACCACCAAGTGACAATACAATAGTATAAGTCTTTAAATGCAAGATATGTAAAGTGTACCTAAAATTTTAGGTATCAAATACTTAAGTAAATTTAAGTAAAACTTAAGTTACTTAAGTATTTGATTGTGCTAAAATGTACTTTTACTTAAGTATATCTTTAGTTGGACCTCATCACTATTTCTGGATAACTAAAGTGCATTAAGTACAAAATTTGTAGATCCAATTTAGCCAATTTTAAATAAATCAGTTTAGTATACCAACAGTACAATTGCAGGGTATTTATATTAAGTACAAAAATACGGTATGTAAATGTATTTGTTGTAGTCTTGGCATAAAATAATTACATTTCAAACACATATTTATTTTTCAAAAGGGTTGTCTGTGGTAATCATCCCAAATACTCAAAGATTCCTTTAAAGAAAAATTCTCGAATAATTTGTATCTTGATAAACGGGCAGATGAAAACACACATGAAAAAACATAGACTGCAGTAGTTTTTCTTTTTTTAGTATTGACTCCAAATTCAGCACAACAGCACTGTGTCTATAGTCTAGACTTTAGACTTGTGAGTTCAGCAACTTTAATCTCCATGGAGAAAGTGTAACTTGATAATGGACTTCAACTCTTGCCACGCTGCAAGTGTGTTGGGATATAGTGACCCTGTACAACCTTTCTGTCCGTCACAACAACCTCAGAACTGCTCCTTGGAGACCAGTAATCTTCAATGCTGTAAAGCTGACAGTGACATCTAGAATCAGTGGTAAACACAATATGGCGTTCTTAAAGGGTCCCTTGGGGGATTGCTATTTTAACATGCTAGTCGATAGCATCTGACCAATTTGGCTAATTCAATTGTGATGCCTAGTTGTGCTTAGCTAATTTAGCAGCCATCAGATTGCAGTGCAAGTCATTTAAAATGTTAATGTCCTGGAGTCTGAATATCATTATATACTATGGCAGGCAATTTTTTGGGCATTGTACCACAGACCATTTGCTAATGCTTTGAAACAGATGGTGGTACATTTCATTAACTTCTAAGTGTACAAAGAAGCTAGATTGGATTTATTTTTTTGTCACAAAGAACGCATTAGATTCAGGTTATTCTCATTTAGATTATTCATTGATGAGGTTCAGATTTTATATGAACAGTCCTGTGTTCTGATTCTCGTCCATTATTTATTATAAAACAGGATGTCTAGGATGCTTATTATAGTCAACTGCATTCCAGCAGTGCTTAAATACAAAATAAACACAAAAAAGTAAAACACCTTTTTACCGTATAACTGCACAGCACCCCTGCACAACTATAAAACAAATTGTAGGCACCAGGAACTATATTTTTAGAGGAAATATGAAATTAATAAATAAAATAAGATAGATTGGCAATAAACCAGCCCATATTTGGCCATTTTTAGATAATCAGGATTGGCTAATAATTGTGCTTGCTTAGCTGACTTTTAAATTAGCATTATATTTCCTTTGTATGTGTTCCAGAATATACTAATATCCCTATAAAATAATAATGCACAATTTCTGTAAATTTTTAATTTTATTTTCACAAAATATTCTGTAATACTAAAAAAAAGTTAAATATCAGAAGTCTATAACAGTCTCGACTGCTTTAATCAATTGCATTAGCCTATGGGTTCGTTTACACATCAAACGATATGCTTATAACGGAGAAGTTTTTCCTTTGAGTTTCCCGCGTTCAGACCATAGATATCCATAATAAAGGCTTTTTTTTTTTTTTTGACAAACAGGGTCTTATTTAACACTCTGGAATTATGACCGTAAACATTACAAAGTATAAACGTTGTGTTGTCCAATTTAACAGTCAAGACTATCCCTCTTCCATTTTCATCTGCAACAAAATTAAGTACGTCTCCTTTAAATCGGTGCAACAAAACCATAATTCCTGCTGAATGTGAAGTTCCATGACCGAAATAGATTGAGTATCCCCATTGAGATTTCCAAAATTTCACATCCAAGTCCTTAGAATGGGTCTCCTGACAGAAAATAATGTCAGCATCACTTCGTTTAAAGTAAAGAAATAAAGCCTTACGGTTCGTGTTTTCGCAAATACCCCTTACATTCAAAGATGCTATGCTCAAAGAATAAAACTTTAAAATCCATTAAAAAAAACAACAACAAAGTAAATAAAAAGAACGATGAAGCTTACTTTACAAAGCACCACTCCAAGACCTATTGTCTTGAAGTTGCAAAAAACGTATCTAACTATGAACCAGGGGAAGCAGCATCCAGTAGACCTTTCGTGAAACAGTCAGGGATATTTAGTCATTCGATGCATCATCTTTTAATTTAGGCTATTATTCAGAAATGATTCATTGGAGTCGATTCTTTTCCCTTCAATGTAAGCAAACGGACCGCGGAACATGGCTCTTTTACCTTCTTCCCGAGCCTTCTGAGCCGACTGTAACGTTGCGCCTCGGCTATATTTGCCCTCAGAGACATATTTTCAGACTTCAAAGCTCGAATTTCCTTCTCCATCGCGGATAGTCGTTCATCGTGAGTTTTAACATCAGCGATGAGTTGTTGCACAGAAGTTGCTAAACTGTCCACCTTAGCCGAAGTAAGCTCCGTAGTCTTCTCGATCGTTGAAATCTTTGAAAGTGTAGAATCAAGTTTCAAGCTAAGCGCCTGAATGGCTTCAAGCACTTCAGATGTATTCTCAGGTTCCGTTTTCGAGCCAACTTTGTTCCTTTTTTTAGCAGGAGAGTCACTTTTATGAGCCTCAGACAGACATGGAAAATCATTGGGGCATCGCGATTCAAAGGCGGGCTCGCAAGAAAGATCCATCTCGTCTGCTTCAGTATTGAGAAGAGCAAATTGTTGTTTCCTATTTCTTTTTTTGCCCATTCAAAGCTTAGAGTATATCTCCAATCAAGTTAAGATGTAAGGCAATTGCATGTTAAACAATGGACTAGCTGTTAGCTGCATATCCCCAATTTACCTGCGACTGAAAACAACAGGTCTAACTAGACAGACGCCATCTTGGCCCCCTCATCCATAATAAAGGCTAGATGTCTTACGGCGGAGTCTCTATCGTCATCACCGGCGGCCATCTTGTCACAGGCAAGCTTTCTGGTGGGCTCTGTGGTCCCTGATCTAAGATGAGTGATCAGCACGAACACAAATACTCTTATCTCGTTGAAATCTTGACGCATTTACAAACGGTTTGGTTTCTTACAAACGTTATTAACGTGGCTATAATTCTGGATGATTATTTATTGATACACTTATTATTCATAAGTATGCAGTGTCATAACTACATCTCTGACGTTTATAACAAACCAAACCGTTTGAAAATCGGTAGAAAATTGAGCAAGTTATGGTTATTTAAACGGTACATGCACCATTAAAAGCATAGAAAACACAATGTTACGAGTGAGCGAGCTGCCTGTGACAAGATGGCCGCCAGGTGTGGACGTCGACCTCCATTGGCCAGCAGCGCGGACGATACATCTAGCCTTTATTATGTATATCTATGGTTCAGACGACACCGTTGTCAAAACGCCATTCACACACATCCGCGAAAACGACTAAAACGCTGTATTCTGCTGCCAGGCCATTAGATGGCGATGTAACACTATAGCCTGAACACGTAATACGGGTGCGCATGACGTCATCGTCTTCAGAGATTCGCGTTTTTGTTGTTTACACGCAGACCGTTTTTCAAAAACTTGCACTTTGAAAACCGTTTTCAATTCCAGGCACCCAAAACGCCGTTGTCGTGTAAATGAACGGCCAAAACGCATAAAAAGTTTAACGTTTTTAGTTGAAAACGGTGAAAGATTTTTTTGAACCAGTCTTTATTTTCGCAGTGCTGTTTTGTTGACGCTAATGCCTACCAACATAACTATATTCACAATTAATCACGTTATTACACGAGTATTTATTACATTGTAATAATAACGCAGTTATAATGTTATATTACATAGTAGGTTGACTGTAAATGGTTTTGCTTAAGACAGGACCTTTAACAACAAGTCCTGACCGTTTTGCACGGCCATGAGGTCACGGTCTGTAACTTTGGGGTTTAATTGCTGTGGCCCCTTCATATCTCATGTATTTACTACTGGTGGGATTTATAGCAACACTGCATAAAAAAACTCACAGCCAGTTTTTCCATTCCCTCTCTTCCAGCTGCCCATTCCTGGCATCAAACCTGACTCCTGCCATCCCGGCCATCGGAGGAGTGCTGTTCGTGTTTGTGATGGGGATGCTCCTGCGGGCGAGCTTCAGCGACCCGGGCGTCCTGCCCCGGGCCACACCGGAGGAGGCGGCAGACATCGAGAGGCAGATAGGTGCGCGGAAAGACAAGATCATCACTCTTCCTCTCTGTCTTTCCTGGTTCTGTTGTTTTCCCACTGAGCTGAGCTTCCAGGCTCCGATTGCAGGTCTGAGGGAATGCTCTCAGTTAAAGGAGACATTTGATGTTATTCTCTTTTCTCGTTCGATATGAATAATGCATGCTGCTCGCTCTCAGGTTTGCTGTCAGCACACTCAGAGTAATATGAAATCTGCTGAAATATTCATCCCTGGCGAAGATTCATGCTCCCTTAAAGTATTTGTTCATGTTATTCAGTCTGATAGTTTAATCAGTCACGAGTTAATGGTGGTTCGCAAGTTGCTTCGGGTGTTATTAAAGGGCCAGAAAGGACCACACTGGAAGATTGAACAGTCATTTCTTCTTACGGTATTCAGAATTGTGCTGTGGAATCACTGCAGGCCAAGCCATTTTATGCCATAGCATAACAAATCACTGGATTGATTTACTTGGCTTGCATATGAATCGCTGGTTATAATTGAATGGAGTCACTGCTATAATGAGTGATCTGGTCTTTCGTTGAGACCCCAGTGGTGAGGAACTGAACTCACTGGGGCTGAGCCAGGAAGTGCACTTTAGCTCAGGTTTGTCATCTCGGGATATTGAGTTATGTGTCCATGCTGTTCGTATGAATAATATAGTAGCAAGTAAACACTGCTGTGAGTCCCGGTGGCGCTGTGTGCTGCGCAGAAGAGGCATTGCGTGTTGAGGGTCACATAAGATGCGACGTCATTAAAGCAATAGTTTACTCAAAGATGACATTTCAGTATCAATCTTCTCACCCCTTTAAAATCCAAGCCTTTTTTTCTTCTATGGGACACAAATGGGAAGTTTTGAAGGATGTCCGTCGAGCTCCGAAATTATAATAAAAGTAGAGTCATGTGATAGCTTTGTGTGAGGGAGACACTGACTGAAAATTAAGTTATTAGCAGCTTCTTCTTCCACCGAATGTATTGTGACCAAACATCATTGACATCGATTTTAATGTTTTGAAAAGAAGTCTCCTATGCTCACCATGGATGCATTTATTTAATCAAGTATAAAGTAAAAACAGTAATACTGTGAAAAATTATCACAAATTTAAAATAACTGATTTCTATTTCTAATACATGTCAAAATGTAATTTATTCCTTTGATCAAAGCTGAATTTTCAGCATCATTACTCCAGTCTTCAGTGTAACTTCAGAATCATTTTGTGCACAAGAAACATTTCTGATTATTATCAATTTTGAAAACAGTTGTGCTGCTTAAAGTCCAATAATTGTATCCCTTAAAACTCATGTTTGATCACCAAAATTACATATTTAAACGTTTTACCTTGCTAAAAGAAATCGTCATGGCTTAAAATAGCTTGAATGTAACCCTACACCCTTGACTCATTTAGTATGCACGGTTCTATGAATATGCAAATGAGCCCCGCCTCCACTGACGATCACACGTTGATCTGATTGGTTACAGGGTAGTTTGTGACGTCAGAAACACCAGAATTTTAAAACCACATTTTTGAGACTGTCTTTGGTTCACTGCAGTTTTAAGGAGAAAATACTCAGGAATGCTGTTGACATATGAATTTGTACATTTATTTGTCTTATAGCATATTAAAAACGCAACATAGACATATAAACAACATTTTAAAAGCTTGATTTTTAACCACAGAGAAACTTTATTATTAAATGTTGTCCTGAAAAATCCTGTAAAAATGTTAGTTTTCACAAAAATAATAAAGGAATCTCCTCACTTTTTTAATTTATTTGAAATGAATTTATTTTGTAACAAGGTAAAATTCTCTTTACTTTTTTCATTTTGATCAATTTAAAGAATCCCTGCTTAACACAAAACGAGTATTAATTTCCCCCCCAAAAAACCCCAACCTTTTACGGCAGATTTGAGGGCTTAAAGGGATAGTTCACTTTGAAATTAATTTTTGGTATGTTTTAGCTTACCTCAAGGGCATCCAAGATGTAGGTGTCTTTGTTTCCGCAGAAGTTTCAATTTTGATATTTTTAGGTCAAACTGTTCTTGTCTGTCAGTCATATAATGCAGGTCTATGGTCACCACCTCAAAGAGCATGCACAGAGAAGTCCAAATTAAACATGATTTAATGACTCGTAAATGTAAGTACACACTGATGGCCTAAGACACGAAACGAGCGGTTTGTGTGAGAAAACGAACAGTATTTATAGCGTTTTTACCTCTTGTAACCACAGCCACGTCCAAGTGATCTGAGGGCGCCGGCGCTTCGGTCTGCGCAAGCGCCGGAAGTGATCTCTTCCCAAAAAACCCCAAAAATTCAACGTTGTCTGTTGATATACAGGAAATCGCAATGGAAGATGATTTCGATATATCTAAATATGTTTAGATCTTCACAGTGAAAGGTAACCCTTCCGAAATCTCTGTGTAAACAATGAGTGACGGACACGCGCCAGAGATCACTTCCGGCGCTTGCGCAGACCGAAGCGCCCGCGCCCTCAGATCACTTGGACGTGGCTGTGTTTACAAGAGGTAAAAACTATATAAATACTGTTCGTTTTCTCACACAAACCGCTCGTTTCGTGTCTTAGGCCATCAATGTGTACGAGTCATTAAATCATGTTTAATTTGGACTTCTCTGTGCATGCTCTTTGAGGTGGTGACCATAGGCCTGCATTATATGACTGACAGACAAGAACGGTTTGACCTAAAAATATCAAAATTGAAACTACTGTGGAAACAAAGACACCTACATCTTGGATGCCCTTGAGGTAAGCTAAAACATATCAAAAATTTATTTCAAAGTAAACTATCCCTTTAAGTGCAGGGAAAATTAAGTGAATAATGAATGCATTATTTTCCTGTTATCTCTGTAAAGCTGCTTTGAAACAATCTGTATTAGTGTAAATACAGATTGACAGTCTGTATTTGACACTCAATATAAGTTGTTTAACTTATATAATATAAATTATAATTTTGATAATTTAGTTTTACATTAATGGTGTCTTTGTACATGAATGTACATTAGTGTGTGTGTGTGTGGGATATTAGAACCTTTCACTTTCATAGAAGGGTTTTAAATAAAGGGTGAATAAATGAAAAAAGAAGGTCTTCATTTTAGGATGAATAATTGCTCTAAAGGAATTGTCCAGATTCAGCATATGTGACGTGCGCTCGATTAATATTAATCATTTTGATTGGCCCTTAATTTTGTAAAAACATGAATGTAGAGTAATGCTTGCATGTTGGGATTCACCGATAGGAAAATTTTGTCCGATACCGATAATTCTTTAAATTTGAAAGCCGATAACCAATATATTGCCCCATAAATCTAAATCCAAATTTTTATATCATTTTTGAGAGCCTGATCACAAAAACAAAAGTCTCACCATTAAAAGCCATGACCAAGCACACAATTATGATGTTCTCATTAAAAAAATCGCTTTAATATATCGGCCAAATTTTCATATCGGGCTGATATCGGTAACATCAAAAATGAACATGTATCTGCCGAGACCGATATGGTGACCGATATATCGTGCATCTCTACTTGTATGTTGGATGTCTATGGTGCAAGACAAAATGACCAATGGATTAATATAAAAAAAACACACAATTTTGAAAGTACAGCCACTAGTCATTCTACAAAAGCATCACGCATATTTACAATAAATAATGTGATTTTAGAATAGATAACTCATGCTCCAAAACACCTTGTCCCATAGACTTAGTTGTGGTAACCAACCACATGACACTAGCCTGGGAAAACCCAGACAACTTCCGGCAAATTTAGATTTGATCTGAAAGTTAGTCTGGCAAAGAGCTCACTCAAGCCCATTTCCAATCCGTTGAAATCAAGGCACCAATCAGAAACGTTGGGGCGGGCTTTACACGATGACGACAGCGCTGGGATTTTGAAGCAGATTTTGTAGCCTACATTACAAAGATGGATGCCGCCGTCGAACATCACTCGTTCGAATCAGCTATCGCGTCTGTTTTAAGCGATTTGAACGTTTCCTTTTAGTTAAAAACCGAGCAAAGAACAACACTCGGCCGTCTGCATACGTCATCTCCTTCATCGCTCTGATTGGTTTTAGGTCGATCCGCGACGTCCGTTGGTGACGCCCCTCTGGATTTGTCTATGACGCTTTGCCAGACCATAACTCAGTTACAACTGAGAATGGTCTGGTTTTAACCAGGCTAACATGACACACAAGTCGAGTTCATTCCTTCACACTGACACACCACAGAGGACTTCCTCATCTTTTGTGATTTTCTGCCAGAATGGATCTCTGAATGGGTCTCGGGTCTGTTCTGGTTTCACAGATGCGACCAACGGCCCGAGCGGGCCAGGCTACAGACCGCCCCCCCGAACCAGAGAGGTGCTCATCAACGGTCAGACAGTCAAGCTCAAATACTGTTTCACCTGCAAGATCTTCCGCCCGCCGCGGGCCTCACACTGCAGCCTGTGCGACAACTGCGTGGGTAAGCATGCGTGTGTGTGTACTGTGTGTGTCTGCAAATATCTTTATATAATAGTCAGCATCATGCAAAGAAGTGCTAACATTGTGCATTTCTCCTCAGAGAGGTTCGATCATCACTGCCCGTGGGTGGGCAACTGTGTGGGGAGGAGGAACTATCGCTTCTTCTACCTGTTCATCCTCTCACTCTCCTTCCTCACTCTCTTCATCTTCGCCTTCGTCATCACGCACGTTATACTGAGTAAGAGTGCCGACCGCCTACTTCCTTATATAACCTCAGCCTTCAGTGCCAGAACACATGACCGATCTTATCTTACTTTATTCATTTAGCAGCGTTCGGCAGGACAAACCCGTGACTTAGCAGCCGCTTTATATGCAGTTGGAAATATAAGTGTGTAACTTTTTCTGCTTACTTGCGTAGAGCGATATAGCAAATCTCAAGAACGTAGTTTGTAGATATTTATAGTAGTTGTATAATTAGTTATAGATTAATTATGTGGTGATATTGAGAATTATGAAGTCTGTGAGGTTGTTCAATTTAGTGAAGTGACTGACAAGCCTAATTACTTTTCTGTGATAGTATATGGTTATGGAAATAAATGACAGGGTTCCAATTTTTGATTATATCGCAGAAACAGGTTTTGTTTTTCCCCACGACTGGGCAGAATTAACCCTCTGGTGCTCTTTCATGGGCATGATTGGAACAGGTTAAATGGTCCTGTAAAAAATAGTCACACTTGTGCTCCTCGTGGTCTAAAATGAACGCATTGGAAATGAATGGGAGACGAATTTTAACAAGTGAAAACTTTTGGTACTGCAGTCAAACAAAATCTTACTGGAAGCTCATTTTTTGAGATATCCAGCCCAAATTTGGAACACAACTTGTTTAAAACTTCAAGAAAATCAAAGCCATAAATCTAGAGTAAAACGTAATTTTGAAAATGTTTCATATAAAAATTTTAAATAGTTTTTTTGTGCATTTTTCATAACAATATATGTAAAATACTCTTACTTTTTTGGTTTACTTTTTTTGTTCACTTTTTTAAAAAACTTTTTTCACTTCAGCAATAATCTGCCAAGTGTCGCCTTTGAATAGAGATCAAACTTTTACGACAAGATTTTCAAGATTTACGACAGTTTAAGTAGGGAATTAAATTTTCAGGTCAATGCTCAAAAAGTGAATTATAAATACAGCGTAAATATAATTTAGTATAAAAAAAAATCCCCTTAAAATTTAAAAAAATGTTAAATAAAAAACATTATCAAACTAAAATAGTGCATTTATTTTGACTAATGTGTTTTTTTTTTATTGGTAATTTTTGTCCGACACGCAAATTAAGAGCACCAGAGGGTTAAATGATTAAATATGTTGATTATTTCCCAGGAAGTTGGGGGCTCAAAACTTAAGAGTGCAGAAGCGTGTGTACCAGTCATATTCAAAACATTTCAGAATCTTATTTTTGGTCAAGTATTGGCACCAAAATGCCTCTAGGTGCTTCATCACTGTAATGTATGCCTATCGATCGGCTCTGATCGGGCCGTTGACTGGCAGGAGGAAAGCGTGAGTCTGCTGACAGTGCAGTTTCTTCCCTGGGTGAAGTGAGGGAGAGGCTGTAAGCCTGAGCTCAGCGCTGTTTACTGCACACAGCTGATCAATCAGGCCATGAGGGCAGGGACACTGGAGTGACAAATGGCCCCTGTAAGATGTTTATTGGACAGGGCGCACACAGTGCGGCTTTATTTACCCACGAATCTCTCCTCAGATGCCCTCTGGAAACCATTAGCATTAAACACAGTGGCTGACTTTGAAGCGGTCCAGAAAGTGATTGCATTGGGAGTGTCAGGACAGTGGCTTAGGGATTGTTTTAGTCTCTCTTGGTGCACCAGTGATGACATTAAATAGGAGTATTATGGTACTTTGAAATTAGAGTGATACTGAAGGATTTTTCATATACTTACAGATACTCATTTTATATATCCAAACTGTGGTTCTTCAAGGTAGTTCAGAAAACATGGACTGTCATTTAGGGTACAATGGGGCTAAAGGCACATCCTAAGAAAAATGTGCTTTTCACTATTCCTATATTCCCAATCCTAAACGTAGTTTGTTTAAAAATCGTATACATGTATGCGGTTTTAAGGTTGGCCTTTTACCCCACACACGGGGTAAAACCAGCATGGGGCAAAAGGCACAACGTATTTACACAAATACTTTACCTAAATATATATGGTTTTAATAATGTCTAAGTTAATATTTGTTGAAAACAATCACTTTAGCAAAGTTTGTACTATTTTTGGTTTATTTTGATAAATAAAATATTTATTTTATTTAAAAAAAGTTAAAATTCTGAAAGCATTGAATGAGATCCCATAATAATTTCCTAAAGCTTTAAAGTAGGAACAAATAAATATGATGTTTTATTATATGATATGATTAATATCATAAAAAGCACTGTTAATTACATTTAATAAGAATTTAAACTATAGTACATTTTCATTTTGTAAATAACATGCAATTGCCCGAAAACCTTACATTCAGTTCACACTTAAGCATACTCTTTTAAAGTATATTATTTCCTTAAGTACAAAAAACATATATATATTTTATATTATATATATTATAGTTGCCTGCCAGCATTTTTATAGTAAAAATAAAATATATATTTTATTCTAGATTCATGCATTCCTTTTTTATCAACAATTGAATATGGGTAAATTTCATAAAAAAGCAATATTTTGAGCAAAAAGCTGAGAGAATCTCATTTTTGTCAAAGACTACATCCAGATTGGATTCAGAACGACCACAAAACACAGATGGAGTAGATCGAGTCCATCAACACCCCTAATGCTTTCACAGTCCTATACCTCGTCCTGGGTCGACATTTCATTCAGAAGTTTTTTGATTTATATGCCGTTTAATGTTGATGATTGCATTATTTTACATGCATCTGCTTACATATACTACCGCTTGTTTCTGCGTTTTTTTCGCATGTTTTGATCAGGAGAGTCTGTACTTTTTCAGAAGATGTGTAATAGCGCCCCCTACCGTATAACAGTGAAAACACGGAAATTTCCGTCAATGGCGGGGCGTTAAAAGAGGGGGCAAGGAATGCTTTGCCATGTGCTTTAATTAGCGTTAGCTGCTAATGTGGCATGTAGGTGTTCCACAAAACTGTATGATTTAGTGTGTCTGCAGACATCTGTAAGACAGCAGCTGGTTAATTTCTTATTGCAGTGACTCTGCGCTCAATATGCCGCCTGCTTTTTCATTCGAGACTTGTTTCATGTTCCTGTGACAGCTTTTCTTTGTTACATAACCAGTGCTTTTCCTGCAGGATCCAACAGGACTGGCTTTCTTAGTGCTCTCAAAGACAGCCCTGCTAGATATCCTTTCACTAAAGTGTGTGTGTGTGTGTGCAATAGGAGTCTATTTCTGGTATTCACACCTCTAGAACACAATTGCAGAAAAGCAGCCCACACTGACTTTCTCCACATCTTCATTGCTATGCATCTGCACCCCTCTCTTTTCAATGGAAAGAAATATGTTATTAAATACGGTCAGTGGGAAGTCTTTTCATATCTGCGATTAGCTTGAGAAGGAAACCAGCGAGACAGAAGAGAACAGTGATTTGAATTAGCGAGGGGTCGTCTTCATTAGCGAGACCTGCTTCCTGCTCACGGTCAATTATTAGCTGGTCATGCATCATTTACTGCTTCATGATAGACTCACTCTCATGAGCCAGAATGTCAACACATGCTAGTGCTAGCAAAACAACCTTTGCAGGGTACAACTGCTAATTGTTATCTTAAGTGGCCTATTTTTGTCTGGTTTTCCGGTAAAATATCTAAATGTAGTATAACTATAAATAGATTTATAATTATTTTCAGGAATATATTTTGAGTTTCTTTTTCCCTTGGTTTAAGCTTATACATTTTGAGAGATTTATGCTTCAAGCATTGTTTTCGTGAGAAAGCTAAAATACTGAAATGCCATTTAAGCTTATTCTTCTACTCAGACTTCTAGCTCGTCCTCATCCTATAACTACCAAACTTTAGGCCTTTAGACTGCTCTGACTTGCGTTACTATATCTTTTCTAACTGATCCGACTTTGGGAATTCCCGTATCGGACTTCCGAACAATCCCAAATTTCCATAGACTTTTATTGAGGAGGTCAAAACTTTTATACAATAACTCTAAAGGCCTGTTCACACCAAGGATAACTATAACGATAATGATAAAGATATAGTTCTAAAAATCGTTCTCAATATTAAAGAATATTAGAGTCGACACCGCATCTATATTGTTTCTCTGTGGCGTTATCGTTATAGTTGGAATCACTTTCATCAGTTTTTAATCCAGCTGATGAACGATAAAAACATTGACAGCCAATCAGAATCCATCCTGCTGTAACGAGCTCGAGCATTTAAAGCGACAGAAAAGCACACGCCTAGAATAAACTAAATGATATCATCCGCTGGAGTGGATGCTAATATAGTTATTTAATAACTATTCAGAGGCCTTTATAGAGTATTTAAGCTGTCTCTAGCAAAGCTTAAAAACTAGCCTAAGAAAACATACTAAAACATGCTAGTCATGTGTTAGTATGCTAGCAAAACCAAAACATGCTAACAATGTGATAAATCATGTTAGCAAACATGTTAAAACATTATCAATGTAGTAATTCTTTTTTATCTTGTTGAAGATTTATCCTCTGAAAACAGCCCTGTCATATAAAACACTACTGTTTAAAAGTTTTGGGTCAGTACTATTTATTTAAATATATTTTCAAATAAATGCTGTTCTTTTGAAATTTCTTTTAATACATTAAATGATACAGAAAAAATGTATCTCAGTTTCCATAAAGATATTAAGCGGCACAACTGTTTACAACATTGATAATAATAATAATATTAAATGTTTCTTGAGCATCAAATCAGCATATTAGAATGGTTTCTGAAGGATCGTGTGACACAGAAGACTGGAGTAATGATGCTGAAAGATCAGCTTTGCATCACAGGAATAAATTACATTATAAAATATGCTGAAATAGAAAACAGTTGTTTTGAATAATAATAATATTTTACTGTTTTACTGTCTTTTTGATCAAATAAATGCAGCCTTGGTGGGCATAAGAACATTATATTTCAGAAACATTAAAAATCTCACCGACCCCAAACTTTTGAATGCTGGTCTAAATTAAGCTCATCACAGATGCGGCTTATTGCGGAAAGCAGGTGCTTAACAAAAAAAAAATTCTATAAAACTTTTGTGTACATATACGGCTGCCATGATCAATAGAAATTCATCAAATGAAAAAGAAAAGAGCTTATACCCGGGCATCTGTCCAGAAGTGCGGTGTAGTCAAGCACACTTTCAGCATTTTAAAGATGCGATTGCAGTGGTTGAATGATGCTGTACAGACCCAGTATATCCAGCATACTGGAGTCCTTTAATGCGAGTCCATTTCTGAAGCTGTCAGTCAGCGTTTATAATCAGTGGTTGTTGTAGTACATGTGAAGATTTGTGTTTTCCTTGACGGCTGTACTGTTCTGGAAGTGGTGGTGTGCTTTTTCTCCGTCTGGTCCATCGTGGGACTGTCAGGTTTCCATACCTACCTGATCAGCTCCAATCAGACCACCAACGAAGATGTGAGTACCTCTCTTTATGCTTTATCTCCAGTATTCATTAATGAAATAAACATGTTGCTGTGGTTTCATAATAATACACCCAAAACTGCATTGATCATAATGACCTGAGAGGAGACAAAACCAGTCAATTTTGGACAAACAGGGTCCAATGACATTAATGTATTGGGCAGTCATGGCCTTATGGTTAGAGAGTCACACTGGTAACCCGAAGGTCGCGGTTTCGATTCTCAATACCGGCAGGAAATGACTGAGGTGTCCTTGAACGAGCATAGCCACCAATCGCTGTTAAAATTTACAATAATACATTTTTGAGAAAAAAAAAAATATATATATATATATGGGGGAAAATAATTATTTTCAAACCTCATTCTCTGTCTGAAATTATCTTTTTTAAGAGGCGGCTTCTTTAAGACTGGTCAGTAAACGACCACTGTTATGATTGGCTAACATCATTGCATAGGAAACAGTATCAACGGCCAATCGCTATTGCACACGAGTAAGTGTTTTAAAAACATTACCCATATAAAACCATCATTTACAGACAAAGCATTATGAAATCATTATGGTTTGTGATGCAGCTGCTGTCAGATCCAATACAGTCGGCTGCTTCATCTTTCAACACATTTTTGAAAGAGTTTAATTGCAAACTCTTCATTACATTGTGCCTCGATCTCTGTATAATATCAGTCTTTAAATGAAAGATATTTAAAGTGTACCTAAAATATACTTGCAATATTTCCCTTTTAACACAATCTAATATACAAGTATTTGATACACTGCTGATTTTGCAGGTTTTCCCACTTACAAAAGCATGTAGAAGTCTGTCATTTTTATCATAGGTACTGTTCAACTGTGAGTGACGGAATCTAAAATAAAAATCCAGAAAATCACATTGTATGATTTTTAAGTAATTTATTTGCATTTTATTGCATGACATGAGTATTTGATACATCAGAAAAGCAGACCTTAATATTTGGTACAGAAAACTTTGTTTGCAATTACAGAGATCATACGTTTCCTGTAGTTCTTGACCAGGTTTGCACACACTGAGGCAGGGATTCTGGCCCACTCCTCCATACAGACCTTCTCCAGATCCTTCAGGTTTCGGGGCTGTCGCTGGGCAAAACAGACTTTCAGCTCCCTCCCTTTTCTATTGGGTTCAGGTCTGGAGACTGGCTAGGCCACTCCAGGACCTTGAGATGCTTCTTACGGAGCCACTCCTTAGTTGCCCTGGCTGTGTGTTTCAGGTTGTTGTCATGCTGGAAGACCCAGCTACGACCCACCTTCAATGCTCTTACTGAGGGAAGGAGGTTGTTGGCCAAGATCTCGCGATACATGGCCCCATCCATCCTCCCCTCAATATGGTGGAGTCGTCCTGTCCCCTTTGCAGAAAAACATCCCCAAAGAATGATCCATGCTTCACGGTTGGGATGGTGTTCTTGGGGTTGTACTCATCCTTCTTCCTCCAAACACGACGAGTGGAGTTTAGACCAAAAAGCTCTATTTTTGTCTCATCAGACCACATGACCTTCTCCCATTCCTCCTCTGGATCATCCAGATGGTCATTGGCAAACTTCAGACGGGCCTGGACATGCGCTGGCTTGAGCAGGGGGACCTTGCGTGCGCTGCAGGATTTTAATCCATGATGGTGTAGTGTTACACTAATGGTTTTCTTTGAGACTGTGGTCCCAGCTCTCTTCAGGTCATTGACCAGGTCCTGCCGTGTAGTTCTGGGCTGATCCCTCACCTTCCTCATGATCATTGATGCCCCACGAGGTGATAATAATAATAATAATAATAATTTGTTATATTTATATAGCGCTTTTCTGGGTACTCAAATCGCTTTACATTGAAGGGGAAATCTCCTCAACCACCACCAATGTGCAGCACCACCTGGATGATGCGATGGCAGCCATATTGCGCCAGAACGCCCACCACACACCAGCTTACTGGTGGAGAGGAGACAGTGATGAAGCCAATCAGTACAGGTCCTTCTCAAAAAATTAGCATATTGTGATAAAGTTCATTATTTTCCATAATGTAATGATAAAAATTAAACTTTCATATATTTTAGATTCATTGCACACCAAGTGAAATATTTCAGGTCTTTTATTGTTTTAATACTGATGATTTTGGCATACAGCTCATGAAAACCCAAAATACCTGTCTAAAAAAAATAGCATATTTCATCCGACCAATAAAAGAAGTGTTTTTAATACAAAAAAAAAAAGTCAACCTTCAAATAATTATGTTCAGTTATGCACTCAATAGTCAATACTTGGTCGGGAATCCTTTTGCAGAAATGACTGCTTCAATGCGGCGTGGCATGGAGGCAATCAGCCTGTGGCACTGCTGAGGTGTTATGGAGGCCCAGGATGCTTCGATAGCGGCCTTAAGCTCATCCAGAGTGTTGGGTCTTGCGTCTTTCAACTTTCTCTTCACGATATCCCACAGATTCTCTATGGGGTTCAGGTCAGGAGAGTTGGCAGGCCAATTGAGCACAGTAATACCATGGTCAGTAAACCATTTACCAGTGGTTTTGGCACTGTGAGCAGGTGCCAGGTCGTGCTGAAAAATGAAATCTTCATCTCCATAAAGCTTTTCAGCAGATGGAAGCATGAAGTGCTCCAAAATATCCTGATAGGTAGCTGCATTGGCCCTGCCCTTGATAAAACACAGTGCACCAACACCAGCAGCTGACATGGCACCCCAGACCATCACTGACTGTGGGTACTTGACACTGGACATCAGGCATTTTGGCATTTCCTTCTCCCCAGTCTTCCTCCAGACTCTGGCACCATGATTTCCGAATGACATGCAACAGTCCAAGTGCTGCTTCTCTGTATCCCAGGTCAGGCGCTTCTGCCGCTGTTTCTGGTTCAAAAGTGGCTTGACCTGGGGAATGCGGCACCTGTAGCCCATTTCCTGCACACGCCTGGGCACGGTGGCTCTGGATGTTTCTACTCCAGACTCAGTCCACTGCTTCCGCAGGTCCCCCAAGGTCTGGAATCGGTCCTTCTCCACAATCTTCCTCAGGGTCCGGTCACCTCTTCTCGTTGTGCAGCGTTTTTTTGCCACACTTTTTCCTTCCCACAGACTTCCCACTGAGGTGCCTTGATACCGCACTCTGGGAACAGCCTATTTGTTCAGAAATTTCTTTCTGTGTCTTACCCTCTTGCTTGAGGGTGTCAATGATGGCCTTCTGGACAGCAGTCAGGTCGGCAGTCTTACCCATGATTGCGGTTTTGAGTAATGAAACAGGCTGGGAGTTTTTAAAAGCCTCAAGAATCTTTTGCAGTTGTTTAGAGTTAATTAGTTGATTCAGATGATTAGGTTAATAGCTCGTTTAGAGACCCTTTTCATGATATGCTAATTTTTTGAGATAGGAATTTTGGGTTTTCATGAGCTGTATGCCAAAATCATCAGTATTAAAACAATAAAAGACCTGAAATATTTCAGTTGGTGTGCAATGAATCTAAAATATATGAAAGTTTAATTTTTATCATTACATTATGGAAAATAATGAACTTTATCACAATATGCTAATTTTTTTAGAAGGACCTGTATATGGGGATGATTAGGAAGCCATGATGGACAGAGGTCAAGGGGAAAATTTTGTAAAAAATTTGGGATTTTTAATGACGCCAGAGAGTCAGGGCCTCGGTTTAACGTCTCATCCGAAGGACGGTGCTCTTTGACAGTATAGTGTCCCCGTCAGTATACTGGGGTGTTAGGACCCACACAGACCAGAGGGTGAGTGCCCCCTGCTGGCCTCACTAACACCTCTTCCAGCAGCAACCTGGTTTTCTCAGGAGGTCTCTCATCCCAGGAGGCTCACCCTGCTTAGCTTCAGTGGGCAACCAGTCTTGGGCTACCGGGTGATATGGCTGCTGGCAAAGGTGAAAGGTGAGATCTTGCATGGAGTCCCAGACCGAGGGAGATTGACCGTCATCTTGAACTACTTCCATTTTCTAATGATTGTGCCAACTGTTGTTGCCTTCTCACCAAGCTGCTTGCCTATTGTCCTGTAGCCCATCCCAGCCTTGTGCAGGTCTACAATTTTATCCCTGATGTCCTTACACAGCTCTCTGGTCTTGGCCATTGTGGAGAGGTTGGAGTCTGTTTGATTAAGTGTGTGGACAGGTGTCTTTTATACAGGTAACTGGTTCAAACGGGTGTAGTTAATACAGGTAATGAGTGGAGAACAGGAGGGCTTCTTAAAAGGTCTATGAGAGCCGGAGTTCTTACTGGTTGGTAGGTGATCAAATACTTATGTCATGCAATAAAATGCAAATTAATTACTTAAAAATCATACAATGTGATTTTCTGGATTTTTGTTTTAGATTCAGTCACTCACAGTTGAAGAGTACCTATGATCAAAATTACAGACTTCTTCATGCCTTGTAAGTGGGAAAACCTGCAAAATCAGCAGTGTATCAAATACTTGTTCTCCCCACTGTACAGTATATCTTTAGTTGTTCCAATTCGTTGTTCCAATTTAGCACTTTAAGTATACCAGTTTAGTATACCAAAAGTGCAATTGCAGGGTATTTATATTAAGTACATAAATATGTAAATGCATTTGTGGTAGACTTATACTAAAACGTATTTGAAATACATTTAATTTATGCTATTTTATTTTTCACTAGGGAAATATTTATGTCCTGTACATTTTCTCACTTACCCACCTGCAGGTTAATTTTGGACCCTGCATATAAAGTTTATTTAAATCTGTCCCTCTGGATATAAATCCAGATCAAACGAGACCCTGGTAAAGTTACACAAAGACAATTAATGAGGACTTCAAAAGACTTGGTTTTGAAGATCACTGGGTATTTCTCACCATAGCAAAAGATCCTTCTTTCCATCCTCACGCCGGTTCATCCCTGAGTTGATTAAGGCTGCCTGTCGTCTCTCTCAGTGTCTCGCTGTCTGCTCTGATGTTGGCAGCTTGTCCCTCTCAGCTACTGTAGTTCTCAACGGTCACATCACTGTTTCAGATCAAAGGTTCATGGTCATCCAAACGAGGCAAAGGCAACTACAACCCCTACAGCTACGGAAACTTCATCACCAACTGCTGCGCTGCACTGTGCGGACCTCTACCGCCGAGGTGAATACAACAACTAGGCTATTTTGTCGTATACTGTTTACTTCATACTGCACTGCATATACTGTACACTGGTTTTTGTTTTGTTTTTTTGACAGTATGCAGTGACCAACTTTTCTAAAAGTAGTATGCTATGTAGTGCCACTACACTAACAGCACTAACAGTGCCCTTCCACTTTTTCAATGGTTAATTCTGGAAGTATATTTTTCATTAATTTCTATCATAGGGATTAAAAATAAAAAGCATTAAAGCGTTCATTAAAGCATTATAAGCAGGGGTGCACATAACCGGTGCGCATGCTTGGTAAAAATGAACGATGCGCACCAGAAAACATGGAGGGAAGCGCTTTTAAGTACTAGCATGTTTGGGGACACTGACACGTTTACTTGCTGGAGAAGGATTTTTCTGGGAAGAAAAAGATCTCTGGGAAGATAGCAATCATGATTAGGGCAGCACGATAGAGCGTTTTAGCAGTTAGCAGAACGTTTTAGCATCAATATCGCGATGTGCGTATCCACAAAATAGTCACATCGCAGGATGTCATGCATGTATAGGGATCTTAGTTGATCGGTTTCGGTTCGGTAAATGTAAATGTTGATGGAAGATTAGTAGATTTTAAGAAATGTTGAATGGTGTTTTCTTGTTCAAACCTCACTGCCATAATTCAAGGATGTTATACTGGAGATGCTTGCCTGGACATTGCTATTTGGTTTCTAGGATGTTCTGGCTCAGATGTAGCTTAGGTTCATCATTGAATCACACATGAAGATTTTTTTAATGAAACCTTAAAGATTTTGGTCCCTCAACTGAATTTAATCAATGTTGATTCAGTGGGGTAAATGGTAAATGGACTGCATTTATATAGCACTTTCACAGACCTAATGGCCACCAAAGCACTTTACAATTTGCCTCACATTCACCCATTCACTCACTCACTCACTCATACACCGACGGCAACACTTTATTTCAATGGTCCACTTTCTATTCTACTGGTCCACTTTCTATTCTACTAACTATAAGAAACTTTGCAACTACATGTCAACTAACTCTCATTAGAGTATTCATAGACTGTAGTATACTGTTAGGTTGGGGTTCAAGTTAGTAGAATAAGTTGGCATGTAGTTGCATAGCTACTTATAGTCAGTAGAATGTCTGATGGGGAGCATCAAAATAAAGAGTTAGCAGATATTAAGCAGACATGCTAATACTCTAATGAGAGTAAGTTGACATGTAGTTGGAAAGTTACTTATAGTTAGTAGAATGTCTAAAATGAATAATCAAAATAGTACATAAATGGTAATCCAAGTCTTCTAAAGAGATATGATTGCTTTATATGATTTATAACATAATATATATATATATATATATATATACACACAGTGGGGGAAATAATGATTTAATCCCCTGCTGATTTTGTAAGTTTGCCCACTTACAAAGAAATGAAGGGTCTATAATTTTTATGGTAGGTTTATTTTAACGGATAGAGAGGTTTATTTTAACGGATAGAGACAGAATATCAACCAAAAAATCCAGAAAAACGCATTATATAAAGGTTGTAAATTGATTAGTATTTGATCGAGTGAAATAAGTATTTGATCCCCAACCAACCAGCAAGAATTCTGCATCCCACAGATTGGTTATGTGCCCATGTGGAACACAGATTAGCCCTGTCACTTTAAGAAAGTACTCCTAATGTCCTAATGTCAGTGGACACCTGTCCACAGAATCTTTATTTTCCATTACAACCTCTCCACCACCATGGGAGGGACCAAAGACCTGTCAAAGGAAGTCGGGGACCAGATTGTAGACCTGTGGAATGGGCTACAAGACCATCAGCAAGAAGAGACTTTTGTTGGTGTGATTATTCGGAAATGGAAAAAATACAAAATAACCATCAATCGCCCTCAGTCTGGAGCTCCATGCAAGATCTCGCCTCATGAGGTAAGGATGATCATGAGAAAGGTGAGGGATCAGCCCAGAACTACACAGGAGGAGCTTGTTAATGATCTCAAGGCAGTTGGGACCACAGTCACCAAGCAAACCATTGGTAACACACTACGCCGCAATGGATTAAAATCCTGCAGCGCCCGCAAGGTCCACCTGCTCAAGGCGGCATATGCACAGGCCCATCTGAAGTTTGCCAATGAACATTTAATGATTCAAAGAAGGCTTGGGAGAAAGTGCTGTGGTCAGATGAGACCAAAATTGAGCTTTTTGGCATCAACTCAACCCGTTGTGTTTGGAGGAAGAGAAATGCTGACTATGACCCCAAGAACACCATCCCTGCAGTCCAGAACGGCGGTGGAAACATTGTGCTCTGGGGCTGTTTCTCTGCTAAGGGTTCAGGACGACTTCACTGTATTGAGGGGCTGATGGATGGGGCCATGTACTGTAAAATCTTTCCTTCAGCCAGAAGACTGAGGATGGGTCTTCCAGCTTGAGAATGACCCAAAACATATCGCCCAGGCAACAAAGAAGTGGCACGTTAAGGTCCTATAGAACCTCCAGACCATAATCCTATAGAAAATCTTTTGAGGGAGCTGAAACTTCGAGTTGCAAAGCGACAGCCAAGAAACCTTAAGGATTTAGAGAGGATCTGTAAAGAGGAATGGACCAAAATCCCCCCTGAGATGTGTGCAAACCTGGTGACCAACTACAAGAAATGTCTTAACTCAGTACTTGTGGAGAAACCTTTTTTGGCAAGCACAAAGGCATGTTTTGTTTGGGGATCAAATACTTATTTCACTCAATTGCAAATCAATTTATAACCTTTATATTATGTGTTTTTTCTGGATTTTTTGGTTGATATTCTGTCTCTCTCCGTTAAAATTAACCTACCATAAAAATGATAGACCCTTCATTTTTGTAAGTGGGTGAACATACAAAATCAGCAGGGGATCAAATAATTATTTCCTCCCACTGTATATATGCATGTATGTGTATGTGTATATATATATATATATATATACACACACACACACACAGATTTAATTGGTTCAGAGTGCTTGACACGCAAGAACCAATGAGGATAAACAGCTCAATTCCAACACAATCTAATGGAAGTTCATAACTATTTTAGGTACTGGTGAATTGGTGGGTAATTTGTGTGAATTTGTACAATCTCATTTGTACAGTTTTGTCCGATCTGATACGTTGTCCTTTCTACATCCCTACAAAGCTTTGTGTTCTTTACATCAGTCATATCTCTGTATCAGAGAATTTAATTGCCAGTCGACAAAAAAAGTCCATTTCAAATTAGATAGTCATCAACTTCCATAGAAAATCATTATCCAGGCAAGATATCAGTCAAGCGATTCCTGCTGATCTTGTAAAAAGATTGGTGAACTCAGCAAGTTTCTCGCTCATTCATTTAAATATGAGAGGTAAAAACCAATGAGCATTCTCGCTCCAGGAAGTGCTAATATCTTAGATAACCGAGAAACGTTCCTGAATGGGTTCAGATGGTGCGTGAGGAGGCCTGCTGACGTCGAAACCTGCTCACTCACCCACACAAGAGTTCTGCTCGCCATTAATGAGTTTCTCATGAACACAAAGCAATAGTGGGCACAGCATCACTGGCTGCCATCTGCTCTGTGTGTGTGGGCATGTTGAGTTGGAGGAGGACTCCACACACACACGCACACACACACAGATTCTCTTCTCTCCGCCTCCTTTACCCACGTTCCCTGACTCACAGTTGGAATGTATCATCCACTTCCTTTCTCTTTGCAGTTTGATTGACAGAAGAGGTTTTGTGCTACCAGACACCCCGCAGCCCGCGGCCCAGACAAACGGCACCGGCGCCTGCCCCCCCAATCAGGTCCAGAGTCACATGGTAGGCCGCCGTACCCTGACCTGTGTGTGTGTGTGTGTGTGTGCGTCCAGTCTGCTGTACTTCAGCTGTTATAATGAAGCCATTTATGTTCAAACCATTTGAAGGTTTTAGCACAGCATTTGAAATATATAGTGGAGTCTAAAAGTCTGAGACCACACTGAAAGTCTGGAATTCAGTGTTTTACACACAGTTCCCAGCCTGAGTGCTACGATTGTTAAAGGGGGACACACTAAAAAGATCATATTCATTTTTCAAATAATGAAAAAGTACACTACCATTCAAAAGTATTGGGGCCGGTACATTTTTTAAAACGTTTTTGTTGTTTATTTTATCCAAAAATATTTTAGTATATTATTTAAACTTGATATATAAAATTTTAGAATATATATATATATTAGGGCTGTCAAACGATTAATCATGATTAATCGCATCCAAAATAAAAGTTTGTGTTTACATAATATATGTGTGTGTACTGTGTATAATTATTTTTAATACATAAATACCCACACATCCATGTATATTTAAGAAATATTTGCATGTATATACTGTATATAGACTGAATGTAGCCTATATATAATGTATATTTTTTACAAATATAAACATTTTATATATAAATAACATTTTTCTTAAATATATACATGTGTGCATTTATATACAAAATAATTATACACAGTACACACACATACACAGTACACACACATATATTATGTAAACACAAACTTTTATTTTGGATGCGATTAATCGTTTGACAGCCCATATATATATATATATATATATATATATATATATATATATATATATATATATCAAAATTTGTATATATATATATATATATATATAATTTAAAATAAATGTTTTTGGTCACTTTAGATTAGGGACCAATTCTTACTATTAACTAACTATTAACTATGACTTTTGCTTAATGAGCTCCTAATTACTGCTTATTAATAGTTAGTAAGGTAGTTGTTAAGTTTAGGTATTGTGTAGGATTAAGGGATATAGAATATGGTCTACATAGAAATAGAAAGTTCAGAAGAACAGCATTTATTTTAAATGATAATAAACAAATCTTTACAGTTTTCACTTCCACTTTTGTTCAATTTAATGCATATTTGCTTAATAAAAGTAGCCCATTATATCTTTAAAAACAATTCTGACCCCAAACAGTTGAATGCTAGTGTAATAAAAATACATTATTATTATTATTTATTTATATATATATATATATATATATATATACATATATATTTTATAATATATATATATATATATATATATATATATATATATATATATATATTAAATATATATATATATATATAATAACATTTGTTTATATATTTTTAATATATATATATATTACAAATATATAAACAAATGTTATTTATTATAAGTTATTAAAAAATTAATTATTTTCAACTCAAGCCTTTTTGTTATGCTGATTGTATGATTTGTAATGAAAATGAAATAAATATATTTTGCATTTTTAAATTAATACAAGCATTTTCATTAGTGGTCTCAGATTTTTGGACCCAACTGATTTGCTCAACCCAACTGTGTGTTCGGACATGAATCTCTCTCTCTCTTTTGGCTGCTTCGGATTATCCGCAAAGTGTATTTGGCACAGGTTTATGCCGGATGCCCTTCCTGATGCAAACCTCCCAATTTTCCACCTCAGTGGCTGGGATACTTATTTTGACATGAATCTACTCAACATAACACACTGATCATGAAACACCCGTGTTTTTGGCACAGGCGTGATCAGTGACGTAATTCTCTGATCCATTTATACATGCATTGACAGCAGCATTAATGTGATTTGGAGACGGTGTGGGATGGCGTGAACAGATCAGCGCTCATGAATACTGATGGCTCACTGTCTGGATTCAGTTTCATCAGCCATTGATTTGATGGCAATTATTCAATCCCTTGAGGGGTCCAGTGTTTGCGTTGATTAAGCTTTCAATTATAGATTTTAAAATGTATTTTTATAGCATAAATCTTTGTGACATTTTCTAAAATAATACTTCTATCTCTGGAAAGATTCATCCATCATCTGTAGAGAGGATTAGATGGGTGAATCTTACAAAAATCGACCCTGGTCACATTTCACCTTAATCATGAAGAAAATAATGTTCATTAATTGTGGCTTTACATTACAGCTAAACACACACACTACTGTTCAAAAGTTTGGGGCATTTCTAATTCCAATAAATTCTGTTCTTTTGAACTTTCTATTCATTGAAGGATCCTGAAAAATAAGTAATTTCCACAAAAATATTAGGCAGCAAAACTCCTCATTGATATTAATAAGAAATGTTTCTTGAACATCAAATCAGTATATTAGAATGATTTCTGAAGGATCATGTGACACTGAAGACTGAAGAGTAATGATGCTGAAAATATAGCTTTGATCACAGGAATAAATTATATTTTAATATATATAAAAATAAAGACATTTTTATTTGTAATATTTCACAATGTTACTGATTACAAAAATTCAGCCTTGGTGAGCATAAACTTCAAAATTAGCATGAATCTTTATATAATTTCCATGCTTAATTTTCATGGAAAAAAAATCCCTTTATCTTAATGGTCCAAAAATAAGAAAATATAATGTCGTCTTACTTTTGATTGAGGTGAAATATGACCAAGGTATTACTAACATAACTACTATATTCTTTTTGCTGTCTTTCTTTCTACTTTTGGTCAGAACACTCTCTAACCTTTTAAATCTTAACCTTAACCAGTCTTATCTGACCCAGGGCTCAAAAAAAAAAAAACGCTATATAAAAAAAAATACACACAATGGTATTTTTGGACAAATACATCCATCACTAAGTAGAAGGTATCCAAAATATACAATGCCAAAATGGACTGGTTGCTTGATTGGTTGACCATAAACAAAACCACGCCAGCATCTAAAACACAACATATGCTGGTGACCAACAGGGAAGAGTGTTTATGATACTCCAGGTGAAACCGTAGTAATCACACACCTCTTCTCAACAATATGCACAATTTGAGGAGGTATTCATATCCATAGCAGTTTGGAGCCCTGTGACTTTATTTTTCTGTAACATTTTTATTCTTGGTTGGGTCTGACTTCCTCCTGGCTTTCCCTTTTCTCTCTCTGTCCTTCATCCTTCCTCCTAGTGTGCTCAAGACCAGTGCATTCAGAGCACCAAATTCGTTTTGCAGGCCGCCACCAACCCGCTGCTCCACAGTCAACCCATCATTCTGGGCGGAGGCCCGACCCTGCAGGCCAAGAGCTCTCTGGGCGGCCCGTGCTCCACTCTGAGCCCCTCTCAGCCCTCGCTGCCCTCCTCTATCCCCGGCCTCAGCTGTGGAGGAGAGCTGTTGGCCCTGCGGGACTCTGAGATCCACTGTCACCATCACCTACACCATCAACATTTCATCAGCCCGGAGGAGACGCCCTCCCCACCCGCAGCTCTGCCCTGCGCCACCCATCTGGGTCACCATGTTCACCCGGCACAGCTCTTCAACCCGGTCAGCCAGGACTCGCTTCATGAAGACTCAGTGCGGGGTTTGGTGAAGCTGAGTTCAGTGTGAGCTGTTTTTAATGCCGTCCTGCTGAACTGGACCACAAGCCATACGGTACTTTACACACGAACAACAGCTTCTACTGGACGTTTCTGATACTTTAATGGAGTCAGCCGCCCAAACAACTTCCTGAGTACCAAGTGAGGACCAAAGCTAGTCTTCCAGCTCTATTATCACTCAACTGAGCTGTTTTTTTTTTGTAATGGAAGCTTATTTCCCCCACAGAATAAAAATATAAAAAAGGTAATTGCAACTTTCTCACAATTTTGACTTTTTTGAATTCCGAAAAAAATTCAGCATTGTGAGATGTAAATTCCGAATTCCAAGAAAAAAGTCTGAATTGAGAGATGTAAACTCATAATTCCAAAAAAAAGTCTGAATTGAGAAGTGTAAACTCATTATTCCAAGAAAAAAAACTTGAATTGCGAGATGTAAACTTAGAATTCCGGAAAAAAAAGTCTGAATTGAGAGATGCAAATTCATAATTCCAAGAATAAAAAGAGTCTGAATTGTGAGATGTAAACTCAGAATTCAGAGAAAAAGTCTGATGTGCGAAATGTAAACTTCCAAAAGTCTGAACTGTGAGATATAAACAGAATTCTGAGGGGAAAAAAGTGAATTGCGAGATGTAAACTCAGAATTCCGAGAAAAAAAGTCTGAATTGTGAGATGTAAACTCAGAATTCCAAGAAAAAAGTCTGAATTGCAAGATGTAAACTCAGAATTCCGAGAAAAAAAAGTCTGAACTGCTAGATGTAAACTCAGAATTCCGAGAAAAAAATCTAAATTGCGAGAAAAAAACCCTCTGAATTGCCAGATGTAAACTATGAATTCCAAGAAAAAGGTCTGAATTGCGAGATATAAATTCAGAATTCCAAGAAAATAGTCTGAATTGCGAGATGTAAACTAAGAATTCCAAGAAAAAAGTCTAAATTGCGAGATGTAAACTCAGAATTCCGAGAAAAAAGTCTGAATTGCGAGATGTAAACTAAGAATTCCAAGAAAAAAGTCTAAATTGCGAGATGTCAACTCAGAATTCCGAGAAAAAAGTCTGAACTGCGAGATGTAAACTCAGAATTCCGAGAAAAAAACTCTAAATTGCGAGAAAAAAACCCTCTGAATTGCAAGATGTAAACTATGAATTCCATGAAAATTCCTGAATTGCGAGATATAAATTCAGAATTCCGAGAAAAAAACTCTAAATTGCGAGAAAAAACCCCTCTGAATTGCAAGATGTAAACTATGAATTCCAAGAAAAAGGTCTGAATTGCGAGATATAAATTCAGAATTCCAAGAAAATAGTCTGAATTGCGAGATGTAAACTCAGAATTCCGAGAAAAAAGTCTGAACTGCGAGATGTAAACTAAGAATTCCAAGAAAAAAGTCTAAATTGCGAGATGTAAACTCAGAATTCCGAGAAAAAAGTCTGAACTGCGAGATGTAAACTCAGAATTCCGAGAAAAAAATCTAAATTGCGAGAAAAAAACCCTCTGAATTGCCAGATGTAAACTATGAATTCCAAGAAAAAGGTCTGAATTGCGAGATATAAATTCAGAACTCCAAGAAAAAAGTCTGAATTGCGAGATGTAAACTCAGAATTCCGAGAAAAAAGTCTGAATTGCGAGATGTAAACTAAGAATTCCAAGAAAAAAGTCTAAATTGCGAGATGTCAACTCAGAATTCCGAGAAAAAAGTCTGAACTGCGAGATGTAAACTCAGAATTCCGAGAAAAAAACTCTAAATTGCGAGAAAAAAACCCTCTGAATTGCAAGATGTAAACTATGAATTCCATGAAAATTCCTGAATTGCGAGATATAAATTCAGAATTCCGAGAAAAAAACTCTAAATTGCGAGAAAAAAACCCTCTGAATTGCAAGATGTAAACTATGAATTCCAAGAAAAAGGTCTGAATTGCGAGATATAAATTCAGAATTCCAAGAAAATAGTCTGAATTGCGAGATGTAAACTCAGAATTCCGAGAAAAAAGTCTGAACTGCGAGATGTAAACTAAGAATTCCAAGAAAAAAGTCTAAATTGCGAGATGTAAACTCAGAATTCCGAGAAAAAAGTCTGAACTGCGAGATGTAAACTCAGAATTCCGAGAAAAAAATCTAAATTGCGAGAAAAAAACCCTCTGAATTGCCAGATGTAAACTATGAATTCCAAGAAAAAGGTCTGAATTGCGAGATATAAATTCAGAATTCCAAGAAAATAGTCTAAATTGCGAGATGTAAACTCAGAATTCCGAGAAAAAAGTCTGAATTGCGAGATGTAAACTCAGAATTCCGAGAAAAAAGTCTGAACTGCGAGATGTAAACTAAGAATTCCAAGAATAAAGTCTAAATTGCGAGATGTAAACTCAGAATTCCGAGAAAAAAGTCTGAATTGCGAGATGTAAACTCAGAATTCCGAGAAAAAAGTCTGAACTGCGAGATGTAAACTCAGAATTCCGAGAAAAAAGTCTGAATTGCGAGATGTAAACTAAGAATTCCAAGAAAAAAGTCTAAATTGCGAGATGTAAACTCAGAATTCCGAGAAAAAAGTCTGAACTGCGAGATGTAAACTCAGAATTCCGAGAAAAAAGTCTGAACTGCGAGAAAAAAAAACTCTGAATTGCAAGATGTAAACTATGAATTCCAAGAAAAAAGGCTGAATTGCGAGATGTAAACTCAGAATTCTGAGAAAAGTCTAAATTGAGAGAAGTAAACTCAGTATTCCAAGAAAAAAGTCTGATAATTGCGAGAAAGGTCCAAATTGAGAGATGTAAACTCAGTATTCCAAAAAAAAAAAGTCTGAATTGCGAGATGTAAACTCAGAATAAAATGTGTAATTCTGAGAAAAAGTCATAATTATGAGAAAGTCACGATAACCTCATTTATGTTCAGTGGCAGAAATAAGCTTCCATGTGTTTTCAATAGCAGCCACCCTTAAAGTGGCTGCTATTGACTTACCCTTTTTCAAGTATTTTTCCCATTTCATTTCTCCATTTAAGATTTCAATAAATAAAAGCCTTAAACCAAACCAACCAGCATGAACCAGCATCATTACAAATTTAGATTTGAAGAAAAAAATGGAAAGGTACAAGAGAGCATGAACTACTCCTCCCATGAGGCATTGCGAACGACATAATCAAAAACTAAACTACGGTATAATACAAAACAACACCTTTTAAGCTCACTACAAAATATTCTGCCTCTGTTCTGTCACAATGCTGCATTGCAGTGACCGACCGTTGCTGAGCTCTTTTGCAGTGATTTACGTTTCCATAGTAACGATGACTCCTCTGGTTGGTTTCTTTCTATTCAAGATTACAGTGTAGTGGGATTCGGCTATTAAAAACATCTTTTAAAAAGACATTGAAATCACTGACTAATGACATCTATCTTGACATTTGAAAGGCTCTTAAAAGGTTTTTGCGCTATTAAGGTTAGAATTCACTTCCTCTATGGAGAAAATAAATGGGAGTTTTACTTTTGGAGGCTGACTGTTGTGTTCTTGAGGCGTCGGTCAGCCCATGAGCGGGATCATTTCGGGATCGGTTCATTTGTGGTCAAGTATTCCCTGAACTGGTGAGACGACAGAGAATCACTTCTTCGGGTTTCGTCTGTTTGTACAGCCTGTGATTCAGACTCACACCAACTCCTCTGTCCCCAAAGTCTGACACGTTTGGTCATACAGTGATAGAGACAGACACACTTTAATGCGACGTCACTGCCTTTATCTCTCTCGGGGGGTTCTGTCGACAATATTAGTGGTATTATCTATGATAATTATGCTTTGGTTATATATTGCATCAAATTTAAACCAGGTGCCACCACAATATGGTCATGTGATTATGTGCCAAAATGCAGTTTACTGGTTTTCAGCGACAAAAGTGGATTATTGTGGATGTTAATAAATTCACAACTTTTTTCAAACAAAGCTCTGATTGGTCTTTATTTACTTGTTCTTTGTGCTGTGATATCTTTACTGATTGTTATAAGGTAAATGTAAGATTCATTTGTATGTTGTTAGTAATATTTCAATATGAACACTTACCGGACTGAAGCATTTTAGGTTGGCTTGATTATCCGTACATCGTTTAAATGTCGTATTATGTTAAATGTATCAAATATCAGGCTTTTAAGGAACTTTTATTTGTACATTTTCTCAGTCATGTTTAAATATTATGTTTAAAAATCATAAAACTAAGCTTTTCAATGTCATCTTAACCAAGACACATTATTGGAAGATATAGAGTAACAACTGATATTAAATGTACTTTAAGTTGTCTTCTGTAAAGAACTCGTTGATTTATATTACAAGCTATCAGAATTTTGTCTGATATACTTTTTGGCCAAATAAATATCAGCACCAAATTGCATATTTTGCTTTTGAATAAAATTGAGGTGAAAAATCGATCTAACTATATCATACTGTATGACCCATATGTATCAAATATGATACTCAACAAAAAAAAAAACTTTATATATATATAGGTTGTGTAATTTGCGTAAGAATATAATTACCCTGCTTCATTGTTTGACATATTTAGCTAATATGATAGTTTATTATTTTGTTTATTTCCTGGAAAGGCCTAATATGGGCAATGATACACCGGTTACATAGGTATTTTATTCATAATACAATGAATATAACATTTGTATGAAGTGTTCAGCAGTCACCCAGTAGTACTGCAAGTGTTTTGTTTGAGAGCGTTGCGGAGTTATGTGTGTGTGTGCAGAAGAGGCTGTATAGAGTTACATTTAAAGTCCCCCTGTGGAGAAAATCAAGCTTTTAGTGTTGTCTATGTGGTGTTTTTAATATGCTTTAAGACAAATCATGTGCAAATTCATAAGTCGACAGCATTGCTGAGTATTTTCTCCTTAAAACTGCAGTGAACCAAAGACGGTCTCAAAAACACGGTTTGAAATCGCTGGTGTTTCTGACGTCGCAAACAACCTTGTAACCAATCAGATCAACGTGTGATCGTCAACCAGTGGATCTCTGAGCTGGTGTGAGTGAGTGAGTGGAGGCGGGGCTCATTTGCATATTCATAGAACCACATATACTTAATGAGGCAAGGGTGTAGAGTTACATTCAAGCTATTTTAAGGCATGAAGACATTTTTCCCCCAAAAAATATTAATTTTTGGTATAAAAAGATTAGTTTAAAAGGGATAGAGAACTTGCAGTTTCATTTATTGACTTTAAGGTCAAAAGGGATACATATGACTAAAGCAGAGAAGAAAACGTGCATTACAGCAACTTCATAACTATTATGTGTTAAGTATGTTGCTGTGGATGAAAAGTGACCCAGACAAGAGGAGAGAACGCATAAAACGGTCTGAATGACCTCAGTTGGGAGGGTCACTAATTTATCTTATCAGTGACGCCAACAGATGCTTCATGACCAACCTGAAGACATTCTCCAGCACCAGAACCATCGCTGATATGGCCTCGATTGAAAAATGTACATGTAAATTGATCAGTTGACTTAACTTAATAATTTTAAGGGAAAGGGTTTCCTCACTTTTCCGCACAACCATGCGTAATTAGAAAGTTATGTAAGTTATTGTCAAGTTCACATAACTTAATTTGTTCAATTACGCATGAAGTATATATCTATTTAAACCATGAGATTTTTCTGATTCGTATTTCATGTCAGGCTTTACAGGGTTAATGCTTTCTACTGAGATTCCTGAATCCAAATGGATTGAAGAAACATCACAAAACACAACTACTAGACATTGTAAAAGGTATATATTATATTTTTATTATATTATAATATTGCTTGTTTCTAATACATTGATCAACAGATATCAAAGGAAAAATAAAACAAATGATATGTATATATTTTATAATATATCACAAATTACCAGACAATTCTCAAAACTATTAGTAGCAAAAAGCAATTGTAGGCCATTGGAATATTGCATAGATCTGCAAAAAAAAAAAAAAAAAAAAAAGGGATTTACTGATCTTCAGTTTCTGGAACTTAATGGCGAACGTGATTATTGATTTGATAATCTTGCTAATCATCTGCTTCTCTGGTGTAAAATTACACCTTCTGCAGAAAGGAAAATGAAATGTTTTAAGAAACTCCACTTCAATTATTATACTCATTATTGAAAAGGTTTATGGTTGGATGAGGATGGGTATGGTTATCTACCCTGTTTGATTCTGAAACAAATGGCTGGACAGACAGACAGACAGTACAGTTACTGTCACACAACTATTAATATCCTGCCAGATGGGAGTCTTTCCATCCATCTGTTATGTCCGTGGTCTACAACCTTTTTTGACCATTACAACCATGTCGTGGAATATTGATGCTAAACGATATATCGTGCAGCCCTAGTTTAAATGTGCTAATAGTTAAAGTGGTTGAGGAGTAGAATTTTTTTTTTTTTTTGACACATCAAACCAGCCAGTGAAAGTGACATAAAAATGTAAACAGACCAAACTCCAGGTCTAGCATACTAGTCCACTTTCATATTACAACTTGAACAAGGTACCGGTAGTTAAAATAGTTGAGATTAGCATAGTCACAGGTTGATTAAATATACTTGGTTGGAGAAAAACACGGGAATGGTCTTCAGGCTGGAGCTGCTCACCACATCTTGACATCCTTGAGCTCTAGATCTCCCACAATCTCCAGCACATCCACACAATTCAGATCCTGCACACGGTGCTTGTAACTCAGCTGGTGGAACCCGTTTACTGCCACTTTAAACTCCTGAGCTTCACACAGGAGGATCATCTGCCATGGAGGGGCATGAGGTAGAAGTCAGAGTTCAAAGAGCAGACACTGTTCAAAAATACAAATCTACAATGGATAAACACATGCAGGAACTGATGAAATATCGAACTAAATAATAATAATAATAATGTGACATTTCAAAGTGAAACAAACAGGCTCCATTTTGCAAAGCATCCAATGAGGTACACACACATTCCATGTTTTCTCATTGTGAGCACACACAGAGAAGTTAAATAAACTACCGTATATACCCCAATATAAGACGAGGTTTTTGTCCTAAAAATAGACTGACAAATGGCGGGTCGTCTTATATTCGGGGTCATGTACTGAATTGATATATCATTCTAATTAAGGCTCTCAAGGTTTGATTATTAACTCATTTTAATTACTAAAAAGGTAACGATCCCTTAAAATTGTTAAACCCACAATTTTATAGCATGACAGGAAGTACATTGCTGTAACATGCATTACCATTAACTAATTAACATTAAATGACTGATAATATTAGTCTAAAGAAAATTTAGCTACATAATGACAAAAGGTTACAAAGACAAGCATTTTTTACCTTTGGAGTAATGTGAATTTAATGAACCAGGAATTTCCATTATTTCGATTTCATGATGACTTTAAACTTCAGGAAATGCTCTCATTTAGGGTGTGTTCACACTTGGCAGGTTTGGACTCAGGTGCGATTGCTCTGTTAGTGCGGTTCACTTGAGTAGGCTAAGTGAACACTGCCATCCAAACAAGCCGACCGAGACCCCCGAAAAGATGAGTCTCGGTCCACTTCCGAATGAACTCTGGTGCCGTTTGACTGAAATATGAACGCAACATGGACCGAAGACATCTAAACGAACCAAAAACAGGACGTGATGTCACGAGATGCGACCCTAAAAAAGGACAGAAAGCTCAAGCATACTTGTTTTTTCTCGTCATATCAAAGCCATTTTTTTCTTTTGTTTTGTATCTTTAGGTTTGCTGTTAAAAATGACAATGTAAACGCTATGAACCAGGACTAAATGTATCATTTTCTTTTGGTCCGGGCCAAAAGAACCAAGAGAACCGAACTGCAAGTGTGAACACACCATTAATGACAAGAAATGTCTGATACCTCAAAGTATTGACCAGGTGAGAAGGGAAAGCTGGAGAGGGAGCGCTCCTCGGACCCCCAGCAACCCCACAGGAAAGAGTTTCGGACAAAGGATCCAGTTTTGAAACGAGGGTTTAAGTGAAAAGCAATGTCCTCTGAGTTACTGATGCGTAAGTTTACTGAGAAACTATGGGGATAAAGGAAGATATAGAAGACATCAATACATAATTTAATGAGAAATGGGTTAGAAATGACTAAAAAGCATTAATTATATATTATATCTATAATATTCCAGTGGTATTGCTGCTGGTTGGTTTCTTCTCATACCTCTTTGGGGAATCAGTGATTTGCCCCTTCACCATAATGGAGTCTCCTGGACGCAATCCTTTCGCAAGTTTGCTCCTAAAAGGAAGACTCTGGAGGGAAAAAGAAGCACATCTGACAATGGTTTCAGATTCAGCAGGACAAAGACAGTGCAATTTACCCAACCCCAAACCACCAGTGACACTGGATTTTATTGTGTCCACCAACCACAATAATAAATCACAGCTATTATTACCAGTCACTTAAGGCTGGAATACACCACACGACTTTTAAAATCGAAACAGATATAGGCCGTTGTGGACATCATGCACTAAACAACTGAGGATCACACACTACTAGACTTTTCAAGTTGTTCCAACAACAACAAACGAACGCAGAGCGTGGCCTCGTTGCTAGAAGGTGCATGACAAACAAAAACAACAATCTGCTCAAAATATCAAACATGTTGAAGGTAGTTATAATTCGCTACACGATTTTCTGGGAAATCGGTTACAACTGGGTCTGGTCCAGAATGCAAACGGGGGAAAAAATCCCTGCAAAAGTCGTGTAGTGTATTCAACCCTTAAGGCAGAGGTCTTCAACCCTGCTCCCGGAGACCCGCTGTCCTGCAGAGTTAACCAAACACTCCTGAAGCAGCTAATCTAGTTCTTTAGGACAGAGATTGGCTGCATCCCAAATCACACACTTCCCATATTGTAGGCGAAAAGCAGTATATGACAAAAGTAGTATGTCTGAATTCTCAGTACTCATAAGGCAAACAGTAGCCGGATGACCTGCTACTTCTGGCAGGATTCTGAAGTGCGCATTCGATGGACACTTTACCTTATCAAAATAGGTACCTACACAAGATCCAATCTTCAACCAGATGGAACTGGATAATATTCTGATTGTTCCAAACCAATCTGACTTCTGACCTGTAATCCTGCCTAAATCACAATCATACACTGTTCGTTCATTGGCCAGAGGAGAACTGGCCGCCCGACTGAGCCTGGTTTCTCCCAAGGTTTGTTTCTCCATTCTCCCACTGATGGAGTTTTGGTTCCTTGCAACTGTCGCGTTTTCCACCTTTGTTGCCATTAGCTTGGCTTGCTTAGTTGGGGACATTGAATTTAACATTTAATTTAATATTCAACAATAATATTGATCTGCCTGCATTACAAGAACTGAACTGAGCTGGACAATGACATCACAGTTTACACCAGAGCAGCTATATATATAAACAAACTAAATTAATAACTTTAAAACAAAAATGACACATCACTGAACTTACTTAAGCTGGACTGTGGACTATTTCTTCTGTAAACAAACTTTTTTGCATTATTTTCCCGTTATCTCTGTAAAGCTGCTTTGAAACAATCTGTATTGTAAAAAGCGCTATATAAATAAATGTGACTTGACAAGAGAGTATGTGATTTCGGACGCAGCCATGCCATATTATTGGGAGATACGAGGGTCCCAGCAGGCTCTACCATTGTAGAAAGCATAACGTGTGTGCCTTAAAAACTAATCACATTCGTTCAGTTGTGCGACAGTCAGTCACTGTTTGTGGATACCATAGAAATGAATGAGAGTTGCCGTAAACTGAATCCAAACTATCGCAAAATTGTCTGTGACTCCTCTTATAAAACTCAAAAAATAGATAAATCCAAAACGAATATTTAATGGAGAACATGTTGAAGATTAGGCTATAGGCTGTCAATTCATTAAATGATAAGCTGTTTTCCCACAAAAGCGGTTTATTCAGCATAGTGAAGCCTTTCCTCCAATGACATCCATTAAAGAAAAAAAAAAAAAGCCTCTGGCCTCCTTTCCTGGTGTCCACAGTATTACCTTGAAGGCTTAAAGCCTTACAGCGCCACCAGGAATGCCTGAAAACCACATGCAGGTGTGCGGAAGCAGGTTGGATATAAACTTTACAGGACAGTCAGTGGGTCTCCAAAACAATGCAATACTGTATGGTTGCTAAGGTGTTGCTAAGGCATTGGTTAGGGTGTTATAGGTGGTTCCCAGGGCATTGTTAGCTGGTTGTTAGAGTTTTCTGGCAGTTGATACCTAAGCCGCGCTGTAGGAACAGAAACCAAGCCATTGGCAAAATGTCATCTCCTTCATCATGGTTGGTTAGAACAAATCTCAGATTTAAATGGAAGAAATGATCAAATGACATCTGGTTAGGTTAGGTCGTGGTATAAGTCTAAGGGATTATTTTTGCTTATGTCATCATTTGCTAGGAGATAATTGTAAGTCTGATTACTTAGAAAAGTATTGGCACACTTCTACTTAAAGGGATAGTTCACCCAAAAGTGAAAATTCATAAAGGAGCAATAGTTATATATATATAGAGAGAGAGTAATGCTTGTCCATTAACAATAAGACACTATACACCATTTCTTGAGATTGTAGTCTACCTAAAAGATCCTGATATCTGCTTTCTGTAAAGGCCTGATTTAGGGGTCAAAGTGACCTGGTTTCTGTCCAGACTGTGAGGCACCCACCTCACATTTGATTTCAATCATTCTGAAATCAAGTTATCCAGTTTGGCCTGTAGTCAAAAGTAATGCTGCCACATAAAAACTGCATGTGAAAACAATTTCATGTTTTTCAGCCTGACATGTACTCACCGTGTCACCTGACTCCGACATGACTGACTATTGGATGAGAGAGGAGGGGAACGTTATAATTAAACAGCTTCAGCTAAACTTATCTATTTGACTGCAAAATAGAGATACACATCACTTCACTAACACACGTGCACACACACACACACACAGACACACACACACGCTACTGTACAAAAGTTTGAGGTCATTATATGTATTTGTTTTGAAAGAAATTCAGCAAGGAGACATTAAATTAATCAAAATGTTCAAATTTGACTACAAATAAATGCTGTTCTTTTGAATTGTTTATTAATCAAGGAATCCAGAATTTTTTTTATATTTTTGTTTCCACAAACATACTAAGCAGCACAACTGTTTTCAACACAGATATTAATAATAAATGATACTTGAGCATCAAATCATCATATCAGAATGATTTTGAAGGATCATGTGACACTGAAGACTGGAGTAATGATACTGAAAACTCAACTTAGCATTCACAGGAATAAATTACACAATAAAATATATTAAAAGAGAAAACAGTTGTTTTAAATTGTAATAATATTTTGCAATATTAGTGTTTTTGCTGTCTTTTTGACCAAAAAAGTGCAGCCTTGGTGATCATGAAGTGACTTCTTTCAAAAACATAACTAAAATCGTACTAATCCCAAACTTTTGAACAGTAGTGTGCATATACACTCACCGGCCACTTTATTAGGTACACATGTCCAACTGCTCGTTAACACTTAATTTCTAAGCAGCCAATCACATGGCGGCAACTCAGTGCATTTAGGCATGTAGACATGGTCAAGACAATCTCCTGCAGTTCAAACCGAGCATCAGAATGGGGAAGAAAGTTGATTTGAGTGACTTTGAACGTGGCATGATTGTTGGTGCCAGAAGGGCTGGTCTGAGTATTTCAGAAACTGCTAATCTACTGGGATTTTCACGCACAACCATCTCTAGGGTTTAGAGAGAATGGTCCGAAAAAGAAAAAACATCCAGTGAGCGGCAGTTCTGTGGGCGGAAATGCCTTGTTGATGCCAGAGGTCAGAGGAGAATGGCCAGACTGGTTCGAGCTGATAGAAGGGCAACAGTGACTGAAATAACCACTCGTTACAACCGAGGTATGCAGCAAAGCATTTGTGAAGCCACAACACGCACAACCTTGAGGCGGATGGGCTACAACAGCAGAAGACTCCACCAGGTACCACTCATCTCCACTACAAATAGGAAAAAGAGGCTACAATTTGCAAGAGCTCACCAAAATTGAACAGTTGAAGACTGGAAAAATGTTGCCTGGTCTGATGAGTCTCGATTTCTGTTGAGACATTCAGATGTTAGAGTCAGAATTTGGCGTAAACAGAATGAGAACATGGAACCATCATGCCTTGTTACCACTGTGCAGGCTGGTGGTGGTGGTGTAATGGTGTGGGGGATGTTTTCCTGGCACACTTTAGGCCCCTTAGTGCCAATTGGGCATCGTTTAAATGCCACGGCCTACCTGAGCATTGTTTCTGACCATGTCCATCCCTTTATGGCCACCATGTACCCATCCTCTGATGGCTACTTCCACCATGTCACAAAGCTCTAATCATTTCAAATTGGTTTCTTGAACATGACAATGAGTTCACTGTACTAAAATGGCCTCCACAGTCACCAGATCTCAACCCAATAGAGCATCTTTGGGATGTGGTGGAACGGGAGATTCGCATCATGGATGTGCAGCCGACAAATCTGCGGCAACTGTGTGATGCCATCATGTCAATATGGACCAAACTCCCTGAGGAATGCTTCCAGCACCTTGTTGAATCTATGCCACGAAGAATTGAGGCAGTTCTGAAGGCAAAAGGGGGTCCAACCCGTTACTAGCATGGGGTACCTAATAAAGTGGCCGGTGAGTGTATATAGATGATAATTTTTTTTTTTTTTTTTACATCAGCGTAGTCACTTACATAAGACAGTGATCTTTTGCTCACAGCGACGTTTGTAGGTGTGATGGGGTCCTGAAAAACATATCACATCATCATGTTTCCATCCAAAAATGCACTACCAACTACATCATAAACAGTAAATGTGCTGATCAAATAAACCGTTTGTGCATCATGTGCCCCTGACCTGATCTAATACTATTCTTTACATATAACCATACTATATTGACAGTATTTGTGCATAATGCATATACCGTATCTGTCAATCCCACTATCTGCCAGTTTTCAGGCTACTTTAATGCAAATGCAAACATGTTCTTTAAATGTTAGGAATTCTAATAAAAAGAAAAAGCACGTTACCTTACTCACTGAACTGGGAATGAACCCAATGGCCTGGATCTGAACCTTCCCTGATACGGCCAGCGTGTCCACCTTCTTGAGCTCTAACCTGTGCCTGTACTCCAGCAGATGAGAGCCGTTTACCGCCACCTGGAGGAGATGGAACAAACTATATGCCTATTTTAGTCATTTGTGAAATCGCAAAGCATTTTTCCTGAACACTTCCTCTTCTTATGAAGAACAAACTCATGTTTGAGAGTGCCATCAACTGAAAGCATGTGAATTAAAACCAGGATGGGAAATATGGGATCACAGCTCTAGAAATACTTATCTTATCTAAAATGATAGTCCATTAACTCTACTTTTATATTTAATGTGTGAGAATAAAGTACAACCTCTATAGATTCATATATAGCTCCTAAAAGGACAGTGATGGACACAATATGAGATGGGAGTAGTTCAATGCTTTAGTGTTTGCATTCCCTTGAGAAAGTTATCAAACCTTTTGTGTTCTCTCAAAAACTTTCCTAAAGAAACTTTTCATTTGCTCACAAAATATATGAAATATAGTTTTTCCTTCCATCTCATTTTATTTCCATCGTCAATTATGCCGAACCCTGAAACTAAACAGTTTTGCGAGTGAATGTAAATACATTGAAGTTAAACTGCCCCATCTCCTTTAATTACCACATCCCTTTACAATGATGAGATTTTAATCATATTTCTGAAATCATGTCTTTATTCGACTGAAAAGATGGACAAGACACAGATTTTGAGAGTTAAAGGAATAGTTCACCTAAAAATTAAAATTCTGTCATCATCTTGAAGGATGTCAGTAAACAAACAGTTGATGGACACCATTGACTTCCATAAAATTAAAAAAAAAAAATTCTACTATGGAAGTCAATGGTGTCCATCAACTGTCTGGTCACCAACATTCTTCAAAATATCTTCTTTTGTGTTCATTCAGCAGAAGAAAGAAATTCATACAGGTTTGGAACAACTTGAGGGTGAATAAATTATGACCGAATTTTCATTTTTAAGTGAACTATTCCTTTAAACTTCATTGACCTCCTTGAACTGAAATATTAGAAACACTGAATTAAAGCGGCAGTATTTTAATACATTCATTTCATCTGTAACAAAGAACAAGCAGTATCTGCTTTTGCTAAGTTGCATAGATCTCTATACCACTGTGAGAGTGTTTTTCTCCCCTGACTGCAGCCGCCTACTCTCGTCTACATTCAAGGTGTCTGGCATCTCAAATACCTCTGATGTTTCTGCGTTTACACTTTAGGGGACAGCTTACCTGCTGCATATTAAGGGGAAAGTATTTTAAAAGTGCAGTAAGCGATTTCTGAGAAACAGTTGATATCTGAAATCAACCCAAATGAACAAACCTTTCATTGCTCCGCCCCCAAAATGAACGAACATGCAATGCAAGAGTAAATGTCTCTTTATCATAGCTAAAGCGAAGATGACAAACAAACAACAAGCAAGAACAAAAAATTAACACACAGTCCGCAAGAGTATATAAAAGCAAGGGTTGGCTGTTAGTCTCCAGCAGCAGCAAACTGTCCTGTAAAACACAGCAAAGCCAATGTTACTCACGTATGAAGCAGAAACAACTCAACCTCGGCGTCCGTTTCCAGGCCTTTCCGCTTTTCTAATATTAACTCAGGTCCTAAAGCTCTTGCCTGATCATAACCCTTCTTTTTCCAGTGATATTTCCCTGATCTTTCTCTTTTGTAATGTCTCTCAGCCATCTCTCTTTCTACAGTCATTCTTCAAATCTCCCTCTTGCTCACTCTCTCTCCTCCCCTGTCATGAGTGGACACGCCCCCTACTGCTGATTGGCTACAAGTGTGTAGTGGTGCTCGGTCTGATCCACTTTCAACACCAAAAAAATTAATAAAAATGCCCTTACTGCACCTTTAACATCCAAAAATGACCCACTTCACCTTTAACTTTACACATACAGCTAATATAAAGTTGATAATATATCATTTCAAACCAGAGAATGAGATTAAAGCTGACATCATGTCACCAGAGATAGATGCCACTGAACAGAGTGTATAAAACGCAAGTTTATAACCTTGAACAAATCTTTCTGTACGAGTATGATGATCTCAAAGGCAGCGCCGTGCCTGAAGGGCATCAGGTAGTGGATCTCCTCTTTTTCCCAGCTCTCGTTCTGCAGCGTGTTACAGACGATGTAGGGAGAGCGCTTGAAGCGAGGATTGAAATGAAAAGCCACATCTGCCCGAGGCTTCACGCTGCTCCCGCAGGACAGGTCCACCTGGAACCTGCAAGACAGTTTACAGATTCTCACTGTGTGGACTGGATGTGGATACCATTCAAATGTGATTTGAACATATACCAGGGTGTTTTTCAACAGATTTCAACTGTATTCTTTTTGTTATATGGTTGTTAACCATCTTTGAAACTTTGACCATAGTACCGTCGTCTTTGATTTTTATGAACAGATTTTTTCAATAGATTTTAATGTTTTTTTTAGCCCTGTTCAGCACGCAGACTTTCAATCTTAGCATATGGCAATGACTGATGATCTAAGCAAAGAATAAAATAAACTACTCCAATTTGTGTGAAAATTATATAAATCTTTCCACAAACTGTTCATCAGCTGTACCATAATTTTTAATTTGACCAACAATTTTACCACTAATAAAGTTTTCAAACATTACTGTACTTGGTTACGAAAGAGACAATGCTCTAAATGATAAGCATGATGGAGATGAGATATAAGTCATGTGATGCGTGAGGAGAATTAAGATTACATTATGTGAAAATATCAATTAATTGTGTATATAAGATATAGCCATGAAATTGGGCAAAAGAGTTGGCCAATTTTTGAAAGTTCGGTAACACTTTAGTTTAGGGTCCAATTCTCACTATTAACTAGTTGTTTATTAGCATGCATATTACTAGGATATTGTCTGTTTATTAATACTTATAAAGCACATATTAATGCCTTATTCTGCATGACCATATTCTACATCCCTTAATCCTACCCAATACCTAAACTTAACAACTATTAATAAGCAGTAATTAGGAGTTTATTGAGGCAAAAGTTGTAGTTAATATATTGAGAATTGGACCCTAAACTAAAGTATGTATGACTAAAAGTATAACTAAAGTTCATCACATAATGTTCTCAAACACAAAAAATAATTTGAGATGGTAGATTGCAATTGACGCTTCATTTCAGAAAAAAAGAGATACGTTTTAAAATGAAATAAATCTATTGATATGTTTATTTCCACTGTGAGAGTTGACAGTAAAAGTGTGTGAAATATGTTTTAAGGGCCAAAAATGGCCATGAAAAAAAGTTTGGTGCTTCTATCATCTCTTATTTCTATTGATATAATATTTCCCTGCATGAATAAAGTCCGCATATTCAATATAAAGAGGCTTATAACTATAACTAGAAAGACCCCTTCAACCTCAACTGTTACAGGGCTACCTCAAGTACTTTCTGTCTAGGGACTGCAGTGACATGTACAGGGTTAGTTCACCCAAAAATTCATTTTTTTATTTTAAAAATGATACCGTCATTTACTCACCCTCAAGCCATCCTAGATTTATATGAGTTTCTGAGTTTTATTTAAAAAAAAATCCTGGCTCTTCCAAGCTTTCCATCATAAAAGTAATCCATACGCCTCCAGGGGGTTAATAAAGGCCTTCTGAAGCGAAGCGATGTGTTTTTGTAAGAAGAAATATCCATGTTTAAAACTTTTTAAACTATAATCACTGGCTTAGCGGACGTACGCAAGTCTAGGTCTGGCGGAAGAGTGACCTCTGACCCTAAGCTGCTTCAGAAGGCCTTTATTAGAGTCATATGGATTACTTTTATGATGGATCATGGATGCGCTCTTTTGGGCTTCAAAATATCAGGCTCACTCCCATAGTCCCATTATAAAGCTTGAAAGAACCAGGGCAATTTTTAATATAACTCTGATTGTGTTTGGCTGAAAGAAGAAAGTCATATACACCTAGGATGGCTTGAGGGTGAGTAAATTATGGGATCATTTTCATCTTTGGGTGAACTAACCCTTTAAGGTGGAAAGGATATCGAGGTTGTTTGTGTTCTCACCTGTCGGAGTCACTGGGGACACTGCCCTGGATGAGCACCATCTCTCCGGGATGAAGTCCGCCCAGGATGGTCCCAGCATAAGGAATCGTCTACAGGCAGAAATTGGGACATGAGACACAATGACTCAGTTTGTCCTGCTACCTTATAAGTCAACACCATACAACAATTAACGCTTTCATTGACAGATAAACAGTTGAAGTCTAAATTAACTTATCCGTCTACATACTAGTGACCCATAAGAAAAAAGTATAAGTAGAGTAAATCTTACTGGATTCATTATTGTTTGTTTCGCATTTGCGACAGACATATTGAAGATGCTGTTCAGAAAGTCTCTTTATATGCTGTTTTTACGAGTTAATCACCAGCTAAGGAAGAAAATATAAACGCACTCTACACTTTCACTTCCGCATGTGTTCAGTGACCAATCATAAAGCGCGATGTGAGCGCGACGCGTTCAGTGACCAATCAGAGCGCAATGTGAGCGCGACGCGTTCAGTGACCAATCAAAGCGCGATGTGAGCGCGACGCGTTCAGTAACCAATCAAATATGTAACGATATGAGCCCAACGCGTTCACTGACCAATCAAAGCGCACGCGTTCAGTGACAAATTAAATTTCCGTTTTCTAATACTGAAATATAAATACTTAATACAAATGTCATAATTTCAGATATTTGCATGCACTGTTCTTGAATCAATGAGCTCACGTTTACCTCCTGCATGTCTGTATTAAGAACAGTGACATAAGAGGAGTTTCCCTTGCAGTTCGATCGGAGCACATGACACGGAAGTAGCTGCACATAAACATCATGATGTCAGGCTTCAGCAGCAGTTCATAATGATTCATCAAAACATGCAAACATACACTCTGCTGTTCATTATCTCCGGTATTTTTGGGTGCTCTGCTCAGTTTTATGTTATAGATGATCGGCTTGGATTAGGGAGAGAGTTTGATGGAATAGGTGGATTAAGCGGAGGAGGAGTAAGTGAAGTTTTGTTCACTTTTTAAAGTGTTTTTTTTTTTTTATATATATATAGTGTGGATAATTGTGTCGGTGGTTGCGGTTGACAAACTGTCGCTTTTGTTCTCAGGCCACTTCGAGACTTCTTGTCAACTATGAAGAACCGTATCGGAGTCAGATATTGGACTTCTTATTCAAGGTATTGGGTCACGTGAGCCACAGATGTGTGACATTTAAAGAAGGACTTTTTTTTTGAATAATCTAATGTGTTGTTATTATGTTTTGGGTTTGGTTTTATTCAGCCCAACTTTGGAGCTTCACTGCACATCTTAAAGGTAGAAATAGGAGGCGACGGTCAAACTACAGGTAATACAGTGAATCTGTTGTATGTCTGACTTGTCCTGGTCTATTAATTTATTCAGCAATGCATTACAATTTTAATTCATACATTCAAAGATTTGAATACACCTTTCCTAAAATAAGTATGTTTTTGATTTCTGATTTAAAATGAATTCAGGTGGAGCATAAAGTAAAATATATGTGTATATCACTATCATAATTAATGAAAAAGGCTATTTAAAAGAATGACATTCCTGACAAGAAACCCATAACTAGTAGTTTGGCATAATATTGTATTGTTTCATAGTAAACTTTGCTGTTAATGTGAAAGTGTTGCACATGAATCGAGTCATATGATGCGAGTCATGTGGTACCAACATGACAAATACAAAAAAAAAAAACATTAGACAATGACATGATGAAGAGGTGAAATTCTCTTACATTTGACCTTTTCATGACAGATCAAGGTTCATTCAGGTTGTAAAATGTCATGTGATGAGCAACCCACCAGCCCCCCCCCCCCCCCCCCCCCCCCCCAAAAATCCACATACAATGAATTAGATCTGTAAATGTAAAAATTGTACAATGTATAAACTTTTATCCAAAATAACAATTAAGATGTGTATACTATTTAAGAAACAAAGCATCTTTTTACACTAAGTGCAAATAGCCTGCCTTGTTGGCAAAGGCTTTTTTTGCATGAACTCCGCTATTGTCTTCTAGTTGAGCCAAACAAAATGACAAAAGAAATTCATCCGGTAAAGGAGCAGTGGGCTGGATAGGAAGGACAGTAGAGTTCAATGGAGCATTTGATGCAGCCGGCCTGAGTTTGAAACCACCTTTTTCAGATCCTATTCTTCTCCTTAAACAAAAACAAACAAACAAACAAACACCGGTTTGACTTTATTTTAAGGTGTCCTTGTTGCAGTGTAATTACACATATACTGTAAGTACTGAGTAATATTAATTAACTACATGTACTTACTGTAGTCTGGTTTAGGGTTAGTTGCGTGCAATTACATGTGTAACAAGGACACTGTAAAAAAAAATGTGTTACCAGAAGCTGATGGTAACACTTTTTTTTTTTTTTTTACAGTGTCCTTGTTACACATGTTGCATGTGCTTGCATTTAAATTATGCGTAATTGCATGCAACTAACCCACAACCAAACTACAGTAAGTACATGTAGTTAATTAATATTACTTAGTACTTATATGTATAATTACACTGTAACAAGGACAACTTAAAGTCAAACCGGTTTTTGTTTTTAATAAAGAATTGAGAAAACATTCTAAAAGTGTAATTTACTTTTATAATATTTAGAATACTTTATTGTCACCATGCTGTTGATACCGTGGCTCCCTTCCTGGGACTTCAAGGACATCTTTATTGATCATTATGGGCAGGTGTAGGTGCCGGCGTTAAAGAGTTAGTTCACAATAAGGAAGCATCCATTTATGATTTTAATAAATATAATCATATTAGGTATCCTGAATATGTTGTCGTTATTACATACTGCTTGATAATGTACTACAGTACGCTTAGGTACAAATAGTATAAATAGCAAAATTATAATTAGCATCTAACTACAAATATTTACACTTAGTGCAACGAAAATACGGTTACACTTTATTTGAAGGTGACATGGTTACATTGCATTTACTCTAATAGTACTAAGTACTGAGTAATATTAATTAACTACATGTACTTATTATAGGGTTAGGGGTTGGTTTAGGGTTTGATACTTGTAATTATGCATAATTTACCGTTATTACTATAGTAAGTAGTTACATGTTGTAACATGTAACTACGTCACCTTAAAATAGTGTTACCGAAAATAGTGTTTTCACTATGTTGTGTTTTTTTTTTATTAAGAAAATTGTAACTTTTGATTGACCCAATGATAGTGACGCAAAGATAGTGTGCAGTTATTAAAACCATAAACGCTTAATTATAAAAATATTTCACACTTAGAAATACATTTTAGACTAAAAGAAAGACACCAGTCTCAGCAATTTAGGTTTCCAGAAACACTATTAAGAAACTTCAAGTTTGGATTAACTTTCCCGTTTGATTGACAGATGGCACAGAACCCTCTCACATGCACAGTAAGGATGAAGGGAATTTTTATCGGGGATATGAGTGGTGGCTTATGAAAGAAGCTAAGAAGAGAAATCCAAACATCAAGCTGATAGGTAATCTATTTGTTCCATACTGAATTTGCCATTTATATTATAAGGAAAGAAATAATGTAGAGAAGACCACTGATTCAATGCTTTGATTTTGAAGGTCTTCCCTGGGCATTTCCAGGATGGGTTGGATATGAAACCCAATGGCCTTACATCTTTCCAAATGTTACTGCCAACTATGTTATTACATGGATCATGGGAGCAAAGCAGCATCACAACCTTGATATTGATTATATTGGTGTATGTATTGCTTATAATTAGTCTGTTACTGATGTCTGTTTTAAAGGGACATTTATTTGAACTCGTTTTGATCTATTTTTCAGATATGGAATGAAAAAACATGTGATCCAGCATACATTAAGGTAAAAAATAGTAATCTTAGTTGCAGCCTATTTGCAGATTATTACTATTTTAGTCAGTCCAAATATGTCTGTTTGTCATTTCCATAGGTGCTAAGGGACATGTTGGACCGAGCTGGTTATACAAATATCGGCATCATTGCTGCAGATGGAGATTGGTCAATTGCAGCTGCCATGTTGAAGGATTCATATCTGAATGATGCTGTTGAGGTGATAGGGTGAGCAGTTTGGAACATTTGGCCTTATAAACCCATATTGTCAACCAACTAGCTGAGCTATTCAGTGTTAGCTAAAGTGTAGTTATAGTTTACGGTCTTTTACAGTGTCCACTACCCAGGCACCCACACGGTGAAGGAAGCTCTGATGACGGAGAGGAAGCTTTGGTCATCTGAAGACTACAGCACCTTTAATGACGACATCGGTGCCGGATGCTGGGCTCGCATTCTGAACCAGAACTACGTGAACGGCAGAATGACCTCGTGAGATGTTTTCAGAAACCTTTGGCTATCTCTGCACTGCGATACACATGATGTGCTCAGCCTCAGACTAAGACTGCTTTGTTTTAGGACTATATCCTGGAATTTGATTGCAAGTTACTACGAGAATCTGTCCTTTGGTGGAGATGGGCTGATGACCGCGGAGGAGCCCTGGAGTGGACATTATGTAGTGGATTCTCCCATATGGATGACTGGTAACATGTTTCCAAAGCCCCTTTCACACAGAGCACTGATTCCCAAAAGAATTACCATAGGTTTTAGGGGTGTAACAATGCCCTCATGTCACGATTCGAATACATATCACGATACTGAACTCACGATACGATTGCGATACTCCAATACATATGATAAAAAGTGAACACAAAGTGTACTGTTGATTAAAATGCTAAATTTGATATTACATTGTGGGTGTAAATGAATAGGCTTGGACGTGGTGCTGGAAACCCAATGCACAGGACAATAGAGACACCAGAATAAAAATATTCATGATTCTGAAGCTGAAAATACAGAATTATTTTAGACGAATATGTTTGCACTCTGTCACTGACTACTAGATATATTTAAAATAATGTAGGACACTTTTAACTAGGGCTGTCAAATGATTAATCGTGATTAATCACATCCAAAATAAAAGTTTTTTTACATAATATATGTGGGTGCAATGTGTATAATTATTTTATATATATAAATACACACACATGCTTGTATATATTTAAGAAATATTTTCATGTATATACTGTATATAGATTTATATATAATTTATATTATATATAAATATAAATATTTTATATATAAATAATATTTTTTTTCTTAAATATACATGCATGTGTGTGTATTTATATATATATACAAAATAATTATACACAGTGCACCCACATATATTATGTAAAAAAAACTTTTATTTTGGATGTGATTAATCGTGATTAATCATTTGACAGCCCTACTTTTAACATCAGACATTTGGCATTATCAGGACCCACAAATATTCCCCCATTGCATTATTATACATTATATTCAACATTATATATAGTAGTTTAATGTAGTACTGACACTAAAACTCTGAAAACTTGAATTTTTTCTCACACAGTCATTTTTATTTTGGGTGAACTATACACAATAAATATTGTCACTATCCACAATACATAATGTTACATTTTTTGTATTGCGATATATTGTGACACTATATATTGGTACACCCCTAATGGATTTGCTAGAGTGCCCTGTGGGTGAACGCAAACACGTCCCGGGATGGGAACTATGTAACAATTCTGGGATCAGTCCCGGAACATGCCCTCTGGGAAGGCGGCATGTGTCGTCGCAATGATTTAGGCATCGTGCGGCTCTTTGGCTGGGAGTTTTAAATACGTTGCACACTAACAAAGAAGACAATTTATGTTCGTCATCCTGATGTCACGTGTCTTTACGGGATGTGTGTGTGTGAACACACGCACAGATTCCAGAAAATCACTGGCAGCGTGATTAAACCAAAATCAAACGATTCCAGGACCCATTATTAGTGTATTTTTCGGGATCTCAGTGTGAAAGGGGCTTAATAGTCATTTAAATATGCTGTTACGTAATTTGTGAACTTCAGTCTGGCCCATTTTGGCCTTGTTTTGTTTTTGCAAAATTGCCTTATTTTTCCTAAGGCAAAATTGCCTTAATGTTATGATCATGTATATATATATATATATATATATATATATATCCACCTTTTTCTTATGCCCCATGATGCTTTGCACAATTTATGGGAGCTGATGCTGATACTCAAGCTTCAAAAAGAGTTTATAAAGACATTGTAAAACAAATTCAAACTATGAATCAAGCTGTTTTTATCCAAGTCTTCTAAAGAGACAGTTCCTTTGTTGTGAACAGATTTCGTTTAGGCTTTTATTCGCATATAAACATTGTTCAACGCAAATACATATATGGTATACACATATACGGCTTATACATTATATATGGTAAAGGAATCCCAACCATGCATCCCAACCATGCATGCTTCAAGAACAAACGTTGGTTTTCACGCACCAAGTAAACCTGTGGGAATGAGAATGGCTTGTTGTAGCAGATGAATGTCAGTTCTTTCATCGATGAGTGTTTAACTGTGTTTCTTTTTCTTTTTCCCTGTAGCGCACACAACTCAATTTACACAACCAGGCTGGTTTTATCTACAGACGGTGGGGAATCTCACCAGTGGAGGAAGTTATGTGGCTTTAACAGACCGTAAAGGGAACCTAACAATTGTTATTGAAACCATGGTGGGTGGTTAATATTTTCTTAGGTCTTGTGAAGGACACAAGCTTCAGTGAATCATTTATTTTGACCTCTATGCTCAATATGTACACTCCTCCATTTCTCTTTTTCTAGACACACAATCACTCTCAGTGCATTCGTCCTCCTCTACCGTACTTTGATGTTTCCCCTCAGAAAGTTACATTTCAGCTCAAAGGTTCTTTTGTAAGTGCAGTTCTGTCCGTTCTTGATATTTCAATCCATTTATTTCTTAACCTTAAGGCTTAATTTGATGTTTTCTGCTTTCATCTCTTTTTCAGGCACGTCTCACTGACCTTCAACTGTGGTACTCAAAATTGGATTTTGAGACCAAAAAAGACACGCTCTTTGAGCGGAGGAGTCCTGTTAAGGTATAATTCAATCAGTTCAGTCCATGTTTCATGTCTTAACACATTGCAGAATTAGTAGTAAAGGAACCTTCCTGTTTCCACACAGGTCTATAATGGTTCCTTCACCTTAAAACTGGATGTCGATGAGGTTTACACCATCACAACAGTCACCACTGGACAAAGAGGTTTCAACCCAGAGCCCCCCAAATCCTGCCCATTTCCGAAGAATTACTCTGATGATTTCACTATTGGTGAGGAATATTAGTGTCAAAAGGATTGGCATTGACTCAAATGGCATTTCTAATAGCATTTCTTTTCATTCCAAGATGTCCCTCCATTCTCTGAGGCTCCGTATTTTGCTGATCAAACCGGAGTGTTTGAGTACTTTAGAAACAGCTCAGATAATGGCTCGCACGCCTTTACCTTACGACAGGTGGTCACTGAACGGCCGGTCACCTGGGCTAGAGATGCTGACCAGACCATCAGCATCATAGGGGACTACAGCTGGTATGTTTGTCCTTGGAACGGTGTTATTTTGATGAGAAGATACAAACATTTTTTTAATTACACACATCATACCAATTTTATTAGCACATACTAGCACATAAATATGGATCTGGATGTCTACAATGCTAGTATACAGTATTTAATGACTCTTTATGGGCCCTATCATACACTCGGCACAATGCCGCACCAGGCGCGACGCAACGCAAGTGTTTTTTGCTAGTTTCAGCCCGACGCAGTTATCATTTTCATGCCCTGCGCCACATAGTTTAAATGCGCCTATTTGTGCGCACATGGGCGTGCTGGTCTGAAAACGAGGTGTGTTCAGGCGCATTGTTGGGGCGTTGCTATTTTGAGGCAACTGAAATAGACTGCACCATTGACCAACTGAAACCTGAAGTCTAAAATCAATGGCGCAATATTTACTTTTGTTATTTAAAGAGCGCGTTAGTAATGTGCGCCTATAGGCGGGTCCACAACGCGCGTACACTCTGCTTATCATACACACACACTCTGCTCATTACACACCCAGGGACGCGCAGCAGCAAATAAAAAAATAAAAATAAAAGGATTAGGCCTACAATGTAAAAGATTATTATTGTGTACAAAAAAGATTTGGTGGATTCCGGCTTGTCCCGTAGATGGTCTGCTTGCGCACTTTAACCTCGCGCACGAGCAGATCCGTTTCCTCGCTAGAGAAGCTTTCAGTCTTTCCGCTTGCAAATTCTGCCGTGTAAATAGCAAATCCGCCATGGCGCGAGCGCAACTGGCTTTTAAAGGGAATGGGAGATGAGACCCTGATTGGTTTATTGTACGTTATGCCCAAAACACACCCAATACTCATTACGAAGAGAATAGGGACAACCCTTCCAGACCATGCGCCAGGTTTATTGACCGAAATTTTGTGATGATGCAAGTTTAGACTAATCTGTTGGACTTATACATTTATTTTGGACGTCCCAATTTATATTGGACGTTTATCCACCACACCTACGAATGATTCGGGGGTGCGAAGCTCTATATTTTCTATTTAGAACATACACTTTGCAAGAATTTTTTTTTAGATGTTTTCCTCAATACTGCAGTTCTATAGTATCTGGCATTGATTAATTCTGCCTCATAATTAATCATATAACCAAACTTCACTCTTGTCTAACTAGGACAGACCTCAATGTGTCCTGTGATGTCCTCATTGAGACGCCCATCACTGGAGGTGTGTTCCTGGCGGCCAGGGTTGATCAAGCTGGAGAATCCGTCAGAGAAGCAAAGGGTGTCTTTTATTGGCTTTATGCAAATGGAACATACAAAGTGACAAATGACATAGGTAACAATTTTGTATTTCCCTTTCTTTGAGCGTGTTCATTTTTGGTTATATCATTATAAACAGGGTTTGAAACTAAGTTTTCTCTCACCAGCCAATTTTTAAGCTACACCATAAAATTACGGGTAAATAAAATAAAAGAAGCGGGTTTGTGTGTCAACTTCCTGTCGGAGAGGTGAGAGAGCGAGAAAGTGCAGCTTGTATCGTGTATCTACTCTGCGTAAAATGAGTATTGGAACCGTTTCAGATATTTCAGTATCGTTATTTATCAAAAAATCAGTATTTTTGACAACACTACATTGCACTTAGTTAAAGGTTCTCTAAGCGATCCTGGGTGACGTCACTTCTTGTTGACGTTCGAACTATTGTCAAACAAAACGGAGGCTAGCTAGACCCTCCCTCCTCCTCATCCGCACACTAACCCCCCAAACCCTTCTTGTGGGTCATTGGCTGGAACAGTTTGTTATGTTTCGTGGTGCGGGTAAGCCCAGTTTGTTTTTGTTGCCGTTTGTGGAGCCTGGGGTGTCTGCAGAGATCGCGTTTCTTTACAGTGTGTTCAGGGGACAGGCAGCTAGCGGTTAGTGAGGAGATGTTTGCTGTATGTGACAAAAAAAGTTTTGGCCTAAAAAACGCGTGACATCGCTTAGAGCACCTTTTAAAGGGGTGGTATAATTCCCTTTTCACATGATGTCAAATCAGTCAGTCTCTGATGTCCCCAGAGTGTGTATGTGAAGTTTTACCTCAAAATACCCCACACATATTTTTATATAGCATGTTAAAATTGTCACTTTTTGAGGGTAAGCAAAAACGCACCCTTTTTGTGTCTTTCCCTTTAAATGCAAATGAGCTGCTGCTCCCGGCACAGGGGGCGGAGCTACAACAGCCTGCGTCCTGAAAATGTCAAAAACTTTTAGCCTTTTATGTTCAAACCGGAGTCAGACAAACATGGAGAGACTCAAGAAGAAGTGACAACATGTAGACAACATTTCTGAATGGTTAGTTGATGAATTTATGTAGCGTATGTGTAGATATCTTCTAATCATTGATTAGCATATTCTGTCATGATAATATATAAATCGCGTTCCCGGGGGCAGGTTTTATGTCAGTTTTAGGGTTTGTAAAAGCAATTTCTTTAAAAGAAAATATCTCCCTTTGCGTTGAACTTTGAGCGTCGTGACTTTGCAGATGTTTGTTTATGCTCAAACAGCAACATTACACACTATTTAAAGTTAAAAAAGTGAAATCATAATCAACCACCCCTTTAAGTTTATTAAATCAGATGCCTTTTTAAAAGACCACAACTGAAAAATGTATATATTATAAATAAAATTCAACCCGCCAAAGTGGCTAGTAGGAGTGACGGCGTTACACTCCACTGCTGAAATCCAACCGCGGTTGGCGGGTGTTGATATCAAGCCCTGCTTACTAAGCTATATGAAATTATTTTCCCCCTGATTACAATCTTAATTTTGTTTTAACTTAGTTTGGTTCATACCTGAATTAACCATTTTTGTTGTATTGTGACTGATCTTTATGTTTTTCACACTAAAGGTGGAAAGAGAGTTCTTGCTGAAGGGCTGTCAGGAACAAGGGAAGGTGTATGGTATACCTTAACCCTTAGTGTCAAGGTAACATCTACACACTTATGTGCAACCTTTTAACTATTCATCATGTCTTTGTTCTAAACTGTGCATCTTTTGGCTTGCAGGGATATTTTGCCTCAGGGATGCTGAATGGCTATCCGCTGTGGGAGAACGCTGTTGTTATCGAACCCAAGAATGGATGGGCTGCACTAGGAACTTTCTCTTTTGAATATGCACAGTTTGATAATTTTAAAGTAAATGCACATTGATTTCCGCTTATTTTGATACCTCACATTCATGTTTACTTGATTATTACAAGTTCATGCCACCCATGTCGGAATTAACGTAATTACGGGATTCCAACTTGAAAAACACACGTCATTGTAGAAATCTCAATTACACCGAGAGCTCTGACTTGTACCACATGACCTATGCTACAGATTAATTTTGCCGTTGATAATGTTGGCATATAAACAATTCTGAAGATGTGAACAGCTCCGTCACAAGTTGTCGTCTTGTAATTACGGTAATTTCATTTTCATGGCATGAACACAGCATTTTGGTGCATTGACTCCTTTCACCATGTTTCTTCAGGTTTCTTAATCATCTTTTTTTTTTTTTAGTGCAAAAATAACACTGTGATGAATGTCTTATTTAATTTAATTTGGTGATTTGCCTTTTTTACTGGAATGATTGATTTATGATTGGGGATATAAATGAGGAATACGAGTATGAAATATTAATCTTTAAAAAGGGACATTCTGTGCCAATTAACTGAAAGTGAATGACTTGCACTACCAGTTTAATGTCTGGACTTATTTGTTTTACATGGTTTTAAAAATCTTATACTTGTATCTTATACAGAATAAAAATTGTGGAAAAAAAATAGTTTGAATGACTCCTTCAGCACTGTTTAGAAAGGATGTACAACATAAAAAGATAAAAGAGACCTGACTTGTACAAGTGCAGTAGGTTGTGTTCGAAATCACCCCCTATATATCCTCATTCACTTGTCCCTACATTACTCCACTAATATAGTCCACTTGAAGGAGTGAATGAAAACGAGTGAGTGAATTCGGACACTGAGAGCACCGGAAGCGATGCCGCTTTTGCATAGTTTGTGCTTGCTTGCTGTCTAATAATCATTTATAGCTTAGCAAACTGGCAGCTCCAGTACCAATGAAACGATTTATCTTGAACTCTGTCATGGAAGGGGCGTAGAATTTAGTAGGGACGCTAGGGACGTGTCCCTACCAATATCCAGTGACACCGTAGCAATAATTTCGATCAAAACTTAATATATATTTATACATTGATGTCCCCGTCCTCACCAATTTCAAAATCAAACCTACGCCACTGGAAACTAGCATGTATAAACCTTATTAAACAACTTAATAATGAATTAAAAAGTATTTAAAAATACATGTATGATATTATGCTGTACCCACATTGGAGCAACGGGTTGGAAAATGGATGGATGATTTGATTCAGCTGCAGGCGCCATCTTCTGGTCAGACATTTTGTACAACTTACAGTGCATTATGGGTATTCTCTAGCCGTTGAGCGTACATCGGTTGTACACTCGTTATTGCATTGCATTGAATGAGTGCACTTGATAATGTCTACAATGGTTTTGGACACTACTACAAATGACTGTCCCATAAAATAGTGCCCCATTTAAGGGTATGTGGGGCGATTTCAGACACAGCCGTAGAGATTATGATGTTCTAGACCAGAGCTGTGTCCCAAGTGAGAGGCTGCATCCTTCGAAGGTCGGACTGAGCGTTGTTAAATGGGACGGATGGAGGACTGTTGTTGTTGCCTAGCAACTGCGACAGATGCTGTTGACCAGGGGTGCGTTTCCCGAAAGCATCGTTAGCCAACTATGGTCGCAAGTTGGTCGCAAATCCCATTGAACTCTATTGGTAACGACGGAAATTGCGATCATAGTTGGCTAACAATGCTTTCGGGAAACGCACCCCAGCGTGGCAGAAACGTTTGTAAGGGCGCCGCCATCTTTAGAATATTGTCTTTGAACTTCCGTTTTTGAGGTCGCTCTGTATATTTCTATGGCATTGCTGTCCAGGAGTAAGTAGCTTTTGAAGTGGATTAACTAAATATAAAGTTAACGAAAGTTTAAAACAGATGTCTTAACAGCAGAGCGGGAAGATTTTAAAACGAGCCGTTCATTCATAAATACGCAATATCGCTTTACATGTATAAATATGTTCAACATGGTCCATTTCTGTATATGAAAAGGAGTATAAAATATATATAATCAGATCTTAGTAAGATGTAAGGTAACATTTGAACCGTGAGGTTTTTTTTTTTCTTTTACATTTGAATCATTAGATATTCGAGTAAGCTGAAACCCAGTACTTACGTTTAAAAGTGTAATGCACAATTTCTCTCAAAATATCCTGTCAACACAGGCGCGCAATGATTTCTGGAATAGACAAGGCAGCGCAGGATCCATCTTTTGTATCATTCATTAATGTACATGAAACGAAGGACTCATTTGGAGGAGCCTTCGAATTGGGACAGCCTTCGTCGCGCTGCGGTAACGCAACAGGCCTTCGAAGGATGCAGCCTCTGCATTGGGATGCAGCACAGGGGTGTAGACAATTTCCCTGTTCTAGACAATTAACAAAAAGTAGGTCATTTTACCTGAATTCAACCTAAGAATGATGAGATCATGCATGAATGATGAAGATTCTGAATAAACTTGTGAGCATTTTATCATGTCACTAGCACATGCTGACTTGACTTCACCTCTGTGTGAAATAACAGCATGTCATTATACACTTACTTTAAATGTTTTGGCATTAGACAACATGTTTGCACTTATTTAACCATGTTTTAAATTTGATTAAAAAAAACTTGGTTAATTTGGTTTTGTCTACTGGCATGATGAGAGTGTATTATTTTTCTGGCTATTATTTTTCTGTTGTAAATGTTCCGTTGTACAGAGCCCCTACGGGGACATGGTGGTGGGGAAAAAATATAGAGGAAAAATAATAAGGCAATGCTTCTACCGAAAAACGTTGCGTTTGCTCGCAAAGAGCTCAAAAGGTTTTGCAAGCGAATGGCAAGTTTGCGGGGAATGCAAAACATTTGCAAGAGAACGCAAAAGCATTGACTTATTATTTTTCCTCCATCTCATTTTTCCCCCCACCACCATGTCCCTTTAGGGGCTCTGTATGGCAATATATATAACAGAATGATTGATATTAAAAGGACCAATCTTGCCAAAGCTGTTTTTTAAACATTGTGCAAGTAGATCTTTCTTTTTTTGTAAAAGGAAAGACGTTAGTGAGTAAGGGCTAGAGAAAACATTATGGTGTGCATCTAGAGACAATACAATGGCACTGGCATATTTTAAGATATGTTTCAGTTAAAACTGCCCAAACATGCATTTTAGTCTGCAGGACTTGTCTGTGAAACCCATGTGAAACCGGGCATAAGTTTCTAAATTTACTTTCCTAATGCAGTCCCTCGCAAAGCATGCTGGGAACCACTGCACAGTTAGTTATGTCAACACAAATGATTAATGTAGATGTAACACAAATAGATTAAGTAAAGTTTAGCTTTAAATATATTAGGTGGATGGAACAGAATTTAAGTTGTGACAAAATATAAAAAAATTGTGTTACTTTAGCACATTTTAATTAATTAAACTGAACAAGAGGAGGAACAACTTTTTTTTTTTGGAGTGTGGTTTCTGGCTATGAATTGTATTTGACTATTTGACTATAATATTTAATGAAATTTTTGGCATGTTTATTCAGAAACAGCAAAACATTGATATGTACATGCAATAGCTTGCAAACAAATAAAATGAAACTAAATAATGACTGACATACAGTCAAAAGATTGATTTACCAGCGTTTATAATAGTAATCCTAAATTATAATAAATGAAAGAAAAACATTCAAGATATTTCTGACTTCTCTGGAAGTACTACCAAACACACTAACTCTACTAAAAGACTGTTAGATTTCAAGTCACTTAAATATAATTGCACATTTTATAAGTTTATTTTCTTCATGAACGCGTGGGTTTTATACAAAATACAAAAAAATACAAAACAAATATTTTGAGCACTCTTTTGTGCACAGGTTGTTTCATATTTAAATCTCGTAATTAATTCTTGTAATTAACAATTAATTGTCCTGTTAATGCAATTACAGCTACATTTTAGACTGTCAATATTTAGTTGTCAATATTGTCGTATGAACATGTTTTTATACAAAAAACTGTATTTTTTTTACAGTCTATGGTTTCACTGTTAAAATGCAAAAACTGTTAAACATTTTGTCATGTAGCCTAATGCATTTCTAGTGTAAGATGTACAAATATCTCAACAGCAATAATAAACAGTGTTTAGGACAAGGTTTCATAAAATAAATTGCGTTGATATTTCGTGCCATCCAAAAAGTTTTGGCCACTGTTTGATCTTACCAAGTCTCCAGCGGTGCTACTGAGTCTCCATAGCAACCAAACGACAAACATGGCCAACCACAGCGAGAGCCGCTCCAAACGAGTCTTTTTCAACAACATCGATTCATACTCATCCAAATATATCGCGCAGGTAAACGAGTAATTAGGTACATAAATTACATGAATATAATAAGCGCTGTGGCTTAATGTTGCTTTGTTTAGTTCTTGTCGTCGTGTGTCGTCGGAGAGTCTCTCGCTGCTGATGAAGAGGAGGAAGACAAACAAGAACAGGCTTCAGAAGGCGCACGATTTCAGATAGTTGGAACAGTTGCGAATAAAGGTGCAAAAAAACAACGTTTTGCATTGGAGGAATATTGGGTTAGTTAAGTTTATCATTTATCATTTATTTTGTGGTATTGTGGGTATATGGCATTTAAGACCGGATTTATTAATTAATAATAAAAAAAGATTTACGCACACAATAAACTTCAATGAACAGCACATTTTAAATTTCTGAATTAAAATTCATTTAGATATTTTTTTCGGAATCAAAAAGTAAAAACATTTGTTGTTGATACTGTATACAATGGTGCTTATTGAAAAAAAAATTAATAGAATGGAATTCTTAAAATAATTAAATTCTTTAGTTTTTATTATTTCTTAGAAAATAAGAAATAAACAGTGAAGCAGTAATATATATATATATATATATATATATATATATATATATATATATATATATATTAATTTCTGCCCACCAAATTAAAGTCATGTGGTGCAAACAACATGCAGAAAAAGGTGTCTCAATCAGCTTTCTAGTTCAGTAGTCATGGCACTGATCAGGGAATCTGCCATTTTAAGGGCTGTCTCAATCACAAATTCCAGTGCACTGAAACTTTGCTCCCTAAAAAGTCCCACAATGCACCGTGAAAACCATCGATGCTCACCATGTTACTTAAATTCTGAAGCACAAATATATTGCACAAGCCAGCTCAATACACAACATGACACAACAAGACAGATGTATTGAAAAAAATGTTATATTTCACAAAGATTGATAGACAGGTAGTGAAAAATCTAGCTAGGGAAATCTAGGGAAATGTAACAATCACATGATTTATCTTAATGTACTTTAAATTAAATAGCATAACAAAAAAGTAAAAAAGCATCAGTTCTGCTGTTATTCATAAATATCAGTACTAGTGATGCTGGCTGTACAACACAGATGTTGTCATGTCACCAGAAATGTGTCCCAATGTGTAGTGAGCGAGAGACCTAATTGTTATGTTTTAAGCAGGGATGAGAATCCAGGTGCAGAAACAATTCAAAGAACACGAATCAAGATTAATCCAAAACAAAGACAGGAACATAATCCAAACAGGGGAAACAGAGACATAATCTAGACAGAAGAAACCAGGAACACAAAAACTTACAAAGAGAGACATGCAAGAACAACAAGCGATAAAAGATAATTGAAACACAGGGTTATAAATACACAAGGGCTAATGATTAACAGGTGTAGATAAGTTCCTATGGAAACTAATGAGGGAAACTACGGAGACAATCGAGGCAACATGGCAAACCGGAACTAAACACGGGAAGATAACTTAGGGACAATGGGCTCCTTAAAGGAGCAGCTTCCAGATGCTACAAAAACATAACAATATGTTGCTTTTACACTGGGCTCGTTTGCTGCGGTCCGAGCCCGAGCGCGTTTGTTCCTGGCGCCCCCTGCAGCGTTGGTCTGGTTTCACACTCAACTTGATTCTATCGAACTCTGGTGCGTTTGCGTGCATATTACGTCATCGCAAACGTGCACGGCGCATGATAGAATACAGAACGCGGGTCAATATTGTGTTTTTTTTTATTAATTCGCTGCTATTATGCGCAGTTGAGTGAACAATACAGGTTTACTGTGCGTGTGTCACATAAGGTGGCCGTCTGCTGCTTGCAAACGGACTCTTTTGAGGAGACAGTGGATTTCCAAATTTGGTGCCCTGATTCCACGCGCAATGCACGAATACACTGCAGGCTCACTCTCGCTCGTATCCAAGGTAAATCATCAACACTATCATCCCTTACAAGTGTTTTATTTACCTGAATACTTCACAATAAGCTAAAACACATGCGCAAGTTACTTTACTTCCTGAACAAGTGCGCACCCGAGTCCGTGCTGCTTTCACATTCACGCGAACCGCGGCACGGTTCGGGAGCAACCGAACTCAGACCATCTCCTCCAGGTAGTCTCGGGTTCGGTACCCCAGTGCGCACCCGGGTCCCATGACAGCGTTCACATTAGCGATTTTTCATGCGAACCATGCCCTGTTCCGAACTAAACTGCCAGTGTGAAAGCCCCCTAAGTCCTTGAGGGGGGTGGAGTGGAGGCTGATCAAGGGACAGGACCGCCAGACTATGATGTGCTGGGACCTCCGAACTTGGATGCGCTGGGACCACCGGGATGCCGGCCCCTTGCACTGACATCAGTGATGGGTCCGCCTCACTGGACGCCAGTCTTGAACACCTTGGAACAGCCTTTGTTGCTTTGGGTTTGGCGGCCATGACGGCTGGGGACTCTGGCGTGGCACAGTAAATGCAGAGCCACTCAGTGGCAGTGCCAGATCGATATAAAATTCCAGAGTCCAATTCCAGAGTCTGTGCAGTGGCATGACTGAACTGAGCAACTCAGATAGCATGAATATAATCCAAACAGGGGAAACCAGGAACGCAACAGCTTACAAAGAGGGACATGCAAGAACAACGACTGAAAAAAGACAACTCAAACAGCGGTACAAATACACAGGAAACACAAGGGCTAATGATGAACAATTGTAGATGATAAGTAACTATGGAAACTAATGAGGGTAACTACGAAGACAAGCAAGGTAAACAGGAACTAAACACATGAAGAGAACATAGGGACAGTGGGCACAGAAAATAACTTCAAAATAAGAGTTCATATGACAACATCGATGAATACAGACCCAGGGCACGTTACACTTATAGTGCCCAAATTCATGTACACGATATACTGATTCACGAGCTAGAGAACTGATTGAGACGAACCCAAAGAAAACAAAACAAGAAATTATATCATAGATATATATAATATAGGTCAATAAATGTCATAAAATATCAGATAATGACCTTTTATGAGCAGGCAACACTTTTGTCCTTGACCCTTGTAACAAGTCTCAGTTGCGTCTTAAAACTTTGCAAGCTGGGAACCTAGAGCAATTTTGAGCATCTTGTTTCATCATATTTCAGTCTGTGAGTCGAGAGGAGCTCCTGCAGTATCTGATGCAGTGTGATGTTATTGTGTATAATATCACTGAACACACTGATCTCATTGATGAGGCAACATGGGCCATTTCAGGTAACAATTCCTCAGATTTCCAGATTTATCTAGGCTGCATCTCAAAACATGGTGAGGCACGTTCAGATGACCAAAAGTCTCATTATGCAGCTCACTAGGTTTTAGGATACAGCCTTAACACCATTTCATTTATTTTCTGTTTATTTCTTTATTCATACCAATCTATAAAACTGTATATTAAATCTGTGTTTTCTGTAGCCCTGCACTCTGAAATTGAACATTTTGGGTCTTCAAAAATATTTATCCTGCTGTCAACAATCATGACATGGGCAATGACCAAACCAGCTGATCCTGTGAGTGTTGCTTTTAAATATTTATATCATACAGTGAGGTCCAAATTTGTATTGAAACTTCTTTCCACCATGGAATAAAAAATAAAGAAGGTAATTGTAACTTTTTATCACACAGTTATGACATTTTTTAATTGCAGTTGCGAGTTACAAAGTCTGAATCGCAGTTAATACTTTTTTCTCAGAATTATGAGACAAACTCACAATCGCGAGTTATGAAGTCAGAATAGTGTTAGTTTATACATCGCAATTGCAAGTTTAAGTCTCACAACTCTGACTTCATCAGAAAAGTCAGAATTGTAAATTACAAAGATTTGTAAGTTTATATCTCTCTCTGTCATGTGCGGATAAGGAGGAGAAGGCAAAAGCAGGTTAAGTCTCGTTTATTAATAAATAAACCAAGAGGGTCAGGTCCATACAACATACGACACACAGGGGCGGACAAGTGACGCAGGGACCTCGATGGAAACCGGGCTGGTGGTGGTTAATAGAAGATATGGTGAGTCCTGATCCAGTGAATGAAGACGATAAAGCGGAGACGAAGACACGAAGACAATCCAAAACAGGCACTGAGACCACGAGCGAAAGCAAGACAGGAACAGGAATAAAACACCAGGAACACCACAACGATCTGACAACGACAAGATGAAAACTGAGTATATATAGGCACCACTGATCAGATGCAGCTGGCGCCGTAGACGAGATGCAGCTGACGCCACTGATCAGCGGTAGTGATCTGTGGCCACGCCCACACACACAATAACAATGACACGAGACAAGAAGGACACAGTGAATTCATGAACCGTGACACTACCCTCCCTCCTAGGAAAGCCTCCTGGCGTTCCAGACGACCTTACCTGTCTTACCAGAGCTAATTTATTAGAAACAGAGCGGAGTGGAATGTTCTTAGTTGAAAGCCACACTTTTAGACCAACGACGTATACGGGAGGCTTCGACCGGTGGCGATCGGCTTTAGCCTTGGTGCGCGCCCTCACTTGGAGCAGAGTCTCTCGGGCTCTGGTCCATGTGCGGTGGCACCTCTGGACGAAGGCGTGAGCGGAGGGGACCGCGACTTTGGATTCCAGACTAGGAAAAATAGGTGGCTGGTAACCTAAGCTACACTCAAATGGAGATAGGCCCGTGGATGACACTGGCAACGAGTTATGAGCTTACTCAACCATTGAGAACTGCTGACTCCAGGAGGAAGGATTCTTGGATACCAAACATCGCAACACTCTTTCCAGATCCTGGTTGGCTCTCTCGGTTTGGCCATTGCCCTGGGAATGAAACCCAGAGGACAGACTGACAGTCGCTCCCAGTAATTTACAAAATTCTCGCCAAAATTTGGACACAAATTGGGGACCCCTGTCGGAAACCACGTCTATCAGGAGGGGGAGGCCATGTAAGCGAAAAACGTGGTCTACCACCTTCACCGCTGTCTCCTTGGCAGAAGGTAATTTGGGCAAGGGAATGAAATGAGCCGCCTTCGAGAACCGGGAACCTCACAAAGTTTGACCACTATGGTCAAAACGACCGTCTTGCCCTGGGAGGGCGGGGATAAAATCTAGCGCAATGTGGGACCAGGGTCTCGAAGGGACAGACAGTGGTTGGAGTAACCCATCTGGGGGGTCGATTGGAGGTCTTACCAGTCACAAACCAAGCAAGCCAAGACAAAACTGCGAATGTCGCGAGCCATTAATGTCCACCAGAATCTTTGCTTAACCAATAAACTGGTCCGACTAACCCCTGAATGACAAGCCACGTTAGAACAATGCCCCCATCGAATGACGTCAGACCGTAACCCCTCCGGTACAAATAATCGACTCGGTGGGCCACCGGGCGGAGGCGTTACCCCTTCTAAGGCCGTCTTGACATTCGACTCGATCTCCCATGTGAGTGTGGAGAGAAATAGGGTCTCTGGTAAAATGCACTCCGGAGTAGACGGGCGTTCGGAATGGTAAAAAATATGTGATAAAGAGTCGGGTTTGATGTTCTTGGAACCCGGGCGGTACTATCGAGTAAAATCAAAACGACCGAAAAAAAGAGCCCACCGAGCCTGCCTGGAGTTGAGTCTTTTGGCAGTTCTGATATATTCTAAGTTCTCGTGATCAGTCCAGACGATAAAAGGTTCCCCCGACCCTTCTAACCAATGACGCCATTCCTCTAACGCTAACTTGACCGCCAACAACTCTCAGTTACCAATTTCATAGTTACGTTCGGCAGGAGATAGACGATGGGAAAAAACCGTGCATGGATGCATCTTGTCGTCTATGGAAGAGCGTTGGGAAAGAACTGCGCCTACCCCCACCTCTGATGCGTCGACCTCCACCACGAACTGACGTGAGGCACCAGGGGCTATCAAGATGGGAGCCGAAACGAAGCGACTTTTCAGTTTTGCGAATACAGCCTCAGCTGTATCGGACCACCTGAACGTAGTTCTGGGGGAGGTCAAGGCAGTCAGAGGAGCGGCTAGTTGGCTGAAATTGCGAATGAAACACCTATAGAAATTGGCAAAACCCAGAAACCTCTGTAGGGCCTTATGGGAATCTGGACTTGGCCAATCTACCACAGCCTTAACCTTATCAGGATCCATACGCACTCCCTCAGACGAGACGATGTATCCTAGAAACTCGCAGTTCTCACTTATTTTTCCCGAAACTGTGACATAACTCACAAAGTCCAAATTGTGAGCTGACAATTGCAAGTTTCTATTTCACAATTTGCGAAGTAAAAACTTCCAATTGCGAGAAAAAAAAGTCAGAATTGTCACTTTATATCTCGTAGTTCAGACTTTTTTTCTGACTCTGACTTCTGAATTGTGAGCTGACAATTGTGATTTTATGTCAGAATTGGGGGTTATAAAAGAATTGTGAGTTTATGTCTCGCAATTAAAACTTTTTTTTTTTTCAAAATGATGAGACATAAACTCACAATTTTGAATTATAAAGACAGAATTGTGAGATATAAACTTGCAATTCTGAGAAAAAAAGTAATAATTGTGCGATGTAAACACAATTGTGAGGAAAAAGCCAGAATTCCAGTCACAATTATTATTATTTTTAATCTGTGGCAGAAACCTTCCATAAATTTGACTCCATTTTGAAAATCCTTGTTTTTACCTTCTTCTTTTTTTTTGACAATTGTAAAAAAATTTTTTTTTACAAATTACACATTTCACTTTGTTTTTCATTATGCTTATATTATCAGTTAGAATGTGCTGTACCAGTGACCATGAACAGACCAGACATCATTACTTTTGCTACTTTTTATCTTAAGGATGATCCTGACATTCCCTTGACTGAAGACGACTACAAAAGACGAAGACCACATCCAAACTTTAAAGAACACACAAGCACAGAGAAACATGTGCTTAAACTGGGGAAGACTGTAATTGATCCATCCAGAATCCGGCCTAATACATTTCAAATCATTTATGATATGAAACAATCTTAATACCATAACATATGAAACAAACTTCCTGTAATTTTCTTTCAGAAAAAGTCAAAGCTGTCTACTTATGTTGTAACATCAGGGCTGCAGTATGGAATGGGCGAGAACATGTTTCACTTCTTCTTTAAAGTACTGAAATGACAAAAGTATAAGAGCAACATTATTTTTCAATATGAATTCATAATCACATTTTGTTGCCTAACTTGTTCACTTTCTCCCAGACAGCTTGGCTCGGAGAGCTTAGCAGCGTTCCTGTTTTTGGCCCTGGGACAAACATCATTCCTGCCATTCACATCCACGACCTTGCAAGGTTTGAGAAACTGCAGTTCTGTCGTTTTCCCGGGATGTTGATTTGTGTTTTGTGTAACTTTTCAATTTGATTCTCATCTGTTATTTTTGTGATCATTTGTCATTTCAGAGTGGTGCACAACATCATCGATCACAAACCAAAAACACACTACTTCCTCGCTGTGGATGATTCCAAGAACACTTTTGAAGACATTGTGAAAGTATTCAATCATCGCACACTTTGCTATAATATGATGTACTGAATGTAATGCTCACACTTTAGTTTTGCAATAAAGTGCTGCAGGTATGATAATAATGATGTCAGAACCCGGAAGACTAATTCGCCACTTGTTCCTTTGAGATTTTCCTATGGGATTTTATTATAGGGGTTTTAGATTCATTTGTAAAATAAAGCCTGTGGTAAACAGAACTTGACTGTACTTTGATGTTTTGTTCTACAACGTAAATTACACACACCCATAGCAAAAACACAAATTTTGAAGCATTTTTTTAAATGTATGTTTTTAATAAGTAACTAGGCAAGACAGGTTGAGGGTTGAGTATGTGCAGTGTACGTCGAATAACAAAACGTCAAAGTATCGTCAAGTTATGTTTACCACAGAGGGTTTATTTTTACACATAAATTTAAAATCCCATCAAATCCCATAGGAGAATCTCGGGAATCAGCAGGGAATTAGTCTTCCAGGTTCTGATGTCATCCCTACAACATTCTATGAGAAAACTCCACTTGAAATCATTAGTAAACACGCCGCTGTCTATTTCCTCAGGCCATTGCCTCTGCCCTGGGTTCTGGACAAATAGAAAAAGTCCCAAAGGAGGATGCCTGTGGCACAAAGGCAATTACGGTAAGCTGTTTTTGCTGAACACACATTTTTGCCATGTCATAAAATAATATGTGAAGGTAATATACTATATCATTGTTGTGTATTTTAACAGGAAACCGACCTGCTTTACCTCAGTGTCAACCTTCAGACTGAGTCTGTTTTCTTAAAGGACAAATTAAACCTCCGCTGGGATTATGACTCTGGGATAGTTGATAACATATTTCGTGTGGTGGAGGAATACAAACAGACACGGCAACTGTTGGTAAGCTTTGATAACACTTGCTGATAGAGGCATGTCTAGTGTAAGAATAAGAATTTATATCAGAAATGAAAGAAATTGGGAATCATTTTTTTGCCGCTTTTTAATATTTTGAAGACATTCCTAAACAATATAGCTTTAGAAAATGTGTTTACATGCTCCTATTTTGCTTTTCATTTCCTTCAGCCAATACAAATCTGTCTTCTTGGGCCCCCTGCTGTTGGCAAAAGCTCAGTTGCTGCAAAGTTGTGCAGATATTACAAACTTCATCATATTAATGTCAATGAAGCCATCGATGAGAAAGTCAGACAACTGGTGAGTGAGAACATAACAGCTTCTTTTTTAATTGGTATTTTAACAATGTCTACAGTAATTAAGAACAATTGTCGTGAGATCCATCTTTTCACACTGAGAGCGATTGAGGGACTCAATCTTTTTGAAAAGCCAAAAAATTTGCATATTTCATCCGACCAATAAAAGAAGTGTTTTTAATACAAAAAAAGTCAACCTTCAAATAATTATGTTCAGTTATGCACTCAATAGTCAATACTTGGTCGGGAATTCTTTTGCAGAAATTACTGTTTCAATGCGGCGTGGCATGGAGGCAATCAGCCTGTGGCACTGCTGAGGTGTTATGGAGGCCCAGGATGCTTCGATAGCGGCCTTAAGCTCATCCAGAGTGTTGGGTCTTGCGTCTCTCAACTTTCTCTTCACAATATCCCACAGATTCTCTATGGGGTTCAGGTCAGGAGAGCTGGCAGGCCAATTGAGCACAGTAATACCATGGTCAGTAAACCATTTACCAGTGGTTTTGGCACTGTGAGCAGGTTCCAGGTCGTGCTGAAAAATGAAATCTTCATCTCCATAAAGCTTTTCAGCAGATGGAAGCATGAAGTGCTCCAAAATATCCTGATAGGTAGCTGCATTGGCCCTGCCCTTGATAAAACACAGTGCACCAACACCAGCAGCTGACATGGCACCCCAGACCATCACTGACTGTGGGTACTTGACACTGGACATCAGGCATTTTGGCATTTCCTTCTCCCCAGTCTTCCTCCAGACTCTGGCACCTTGATTTCCGAATGACATGCAAAACTGAGCAACAGTCCAGTGCTGCTTCTCTGTAGCCCAGGTCAGGCACTTCTGCCGCTGTTTCTGGTTCAAAAGTGGCTTGACCTGGGGAATGCGGCACCTGTAGCCCATTTCCTGCACACGCCTGGGCACGGTGGCTCTGGATGTTTCTACTCCAGACTCAGTCCACTGCTTCCGCAGGTCCCCCAAGGTCTGGAATCGGTCCTTCTCCACAATCTTCCTCAGGGTCCGGTCACCTCTTCTTGTTGTGCAGCGTTTTTTGCCACACTTTTTCCTTCCCACAGACTTCCCACTGAGGTGCCTTGATACCGCACTCTGGGAACAGCCTATTTGTTCAGAAATTTCTTTCTGTCTTACCCTCTTGCTTGAGGGTGTCAATGATGGCCTTCTGGACAGCAGTCAGGTCGGCAGTCTTACCCATGATTGCGGTTTTGAGTAATGAAACAGGCTGGGAGTTTTTAAAAGCCTCAGGAATCTTTTGCAGGTGTTTAGAGTTAATTAGTTGATTCAGATGATTAGGTTAATAGCTCGTTTAGAGACCCTTTTCATCATATGCTAATTTTTTGAGACAGGAATTTGGGGTTTTCATGAGCTGTATGCCAAAATCATCAGTATTAAAACAATAAAAGACCTGAAATATTTCAGTTGCTGTGCAATGAATCTAAAATATATGAAAGTTTAATTTTTATCATTACATTATGGAAAATAATGAACTTTATCACAACATGCTAATTTTTTTAGAAGGACCTGTATATATATCATTGTTCCCCTCAAAAATTTTAGGCAGCACAACTGTTTTCAATTGATAATGACTGATTTCTGATAATAATAAGAAATATTCCTTGAGCACCAACTATTAGAATGATATTAGGACTTATAAAACGGTTAGTTCCAATCCTTGATTCTGATTGGTCAATAGCTGTGCTTTATTCACGATAAAACACGGCTATGACCGCTTCACCCAACGGTTCTATGTATCACTACACAACACCCCTAGCAACCACTCTTAGCAACTTAAACAGATGTTTCATCTCATTGATATTGTTCATTTAAAGCTAGAGCAGAGCATTGTGAGAGATCGAGTAAGCGAGTGTACCTGCATTTACAGTAGACGTAGCATTTTCCTTCAGGTCAGTCCTATATTCATAATAAAAAAATGCGTTTGAATGTCCGCTGCATATTTTGTCCTTTTAACAGTCATGGGGTTTTCCGTGCATAACGTTAGTCATCTGTCAGTTGCGTCTGTCTTCTCCGTGATCACAAGTTCGAGTCCTTTCAAAAGCCTTCTCTACAGACTCACTCACTCACTCACTCATAAAGACAGTCTTTGCCGCCATCTATTGGCGAAATAATATATGTAACTTCTGTTGCTGTTCACGTTCCGGTGTTACACCAGAATCTGTGACCGTCATAGTCTGTGACCGTATATGGGCGCGGTTGTCACTGTGCTGCGTGATCTACGCAAACAGCGTAACTTCTGACTATAAGCCAAAGGTAAGGTATTTACGAAACGTTTGTTTAGAAATGATGGTTATTTACACAATAAATGATTATTTGCTTGCCCAGATTGAGCTCAATGTGTTTTTCTTTTTTCAGAGTAGCCGACTACGTGTGTTTCCGTGTTCATTAATGTTTATGTTCTCACGCGAGAAGAGAACGTGCACGTTTAGGAAAAGTTTTTTTCTCAGTGTGTTTTGCTATTCAGAATAATATGTTATATTGGATATTATTTATTAGGATATATATTTAATTTGTGGAACCAGTAGTCAATGAAAGACATGTATGGCACAAAAAGATTATTTTTGTGTAAATTATTATATTAATGCACAGAATAATAATACAAAAAATCACTCAAAATTGCTGTAACAAGTTGTAAAGGTCACCGAATTGTATGTCGCAGACATACAGTAGGGTCACCAAATATGATAAGGTTATTTTAATTGTCACCGCATTCTGTTACCCTCCTCTATTTCACTCATAATGAATGTGACACACTCCAAATTCACTCTGATGATGTGTGAACTCTCCAGCTTCTTACAGTAGAAATCATTTTGGGCTGACATGAACAGAAGCAGACATACAGTAGGGTCACCAAATATGATAAGGCTATTTTAATGGTCACCGAATTCTGTTACCCTCCTCTATTTCACTCATAATGAATGTGACACACTCCAAATTCACTCTGATGATGTGTGAACTCTTCAGCTTCTTACAGTAGAAATCATTTTGGGCTGACATGAACAGAAGCAGACATACAGTAGGGTCACCAAATATGATAAGGCTATTTTAATGGTCACCGCATTCTGTTACCGTCCTCTATTTCACTCATAATGAATGTGACACACTCCAAATTCACTCTGATGATGTGTGAACTCTTCAGCTTCTTACAGTAGAAATCATTTTGGGCTGACATGAACAGAAGCAGACATACAGTAGGGTCACCAAATATGATAAGGCTATTTTAATGGTCACCGCATTCTGTTACCGTCCTCTATTTCACTCATAATGAATGTGACACACTCCAAATTCACTCTGATGATGTGTGAACTCTTCAGCTTCTTACAGTAGAAATCATTTTGGGCTGACATGAACAGAAGCAGACATACAGTAGGGTCACCAAATATGATAAGGCTATTTTAATGGTCACCGAATTCTGTTACCCTCCTCTATTTCACTCATAATGAATGTGACACACTCCAAATTCACTCTGATGATGTGTGAACTCTCCAGCTTCTTACAGTAGAAATCATTTTGGGCTGACATGAACAGAAGCAGACATACAGTAGGGTCACCAAATATGATAAGGCTATTTTAATTGTCACCGCATTGTGTTACCCTCCTCTATTTCACTCATAATGAATGTGACACACTCCAAATTCACTCTGATGATGTGTGAACTCTCCAGCTTCTTACAGTAGAAATCATTTTGGGCTGACATGAACAGAAGCAGACATACAGTAGGGTCACCAAATATGATAAGGCTATTTTAATGGTCACCGAATTCTGTTACCCTCCTCTATTTCACTTATAATGAATGTGATGTTATTTTTTTGCAACTTATTTTTTCTTTTGGATAGGAAGTGTTTAAAATAAATCCATTGCAATATTTTATAATGAAATGTTTTAATAATTAAAATATTTTAAAACATTAGAAACATTGATTTCAAACATTAACTATTTACAAATTTGACGAACTAAGCAAAAAAAAAAAAGAAAAAAAAAAGAAAATATATTTTAAATGCATGCTGAACAGCAGTAGGATTTCTTGGGGTCGGGCTCCCCAACACGGAACCAACGGGCACAGACATCACACTGGATCTGTATCAACAAAGATAATAGAAACATTGATTTTATGCAGAAATTCTTGGCTCTCCTTCTCAGGATGCGCACAAAGTTCTCGTTGGATGTTGGACCACATGTGATCTGCGTGCACGAATGGCAAACCAGTATGTTAGAACCTTCGGGAAAAAAGTGAACAAACATACAAATACAAAGTAATTTTTTTTAAATGCATTTATTTATTGCAATTTGTTATTTGTTAACACTGTTTATCAGTGTTTTTAACTGATAAACAGTGTTAACAAATAACAAATAAACAGTTGTACTAGGCCTATATACATTATTGTTATTCATAATACAAATGTTTAATTGCTTGTCACATAATAATTTAAATTCCATGTGGTCAAAATATGGAATAAATAAATGCGTTTTAAAAAAAAAAGGGCTGTGTATTTGTATATTCACTTTTTTTTCTCGAAGGTTCTAATATAACGGTTTGCCATTCGTGCAGGCAGGTCACATGTGGTCCAAACATCCAACGAGAAGTTTGTGCGCATTCATTTTTATTATAGGCATAAGTTTCGATGCAATCTTTACAACAATATGGATTTTGACAAGTATTTTGAATTGAAAAAATATCTTATTGAGGGCGAATATCCCAAAGATGCCAACAAAAAAACCCGTTTTGTCTTGAGAAGGAGAGCCAAGAATTTCTGCATGATAGGTAAGGTAGGCCTACACTAAAATATTTTCAGGATTTTATAGTAGCCTAATATATAGTTATATATTTAACAATATAATACTTAGATATATAATACAATATTTGGACTTTTACTGTGAAAAAAAAAATGCGGGGCTATTACAAACAAGAAACTTCTATGAATTCCGTCTTTTTCGGACTGCTGCACCTGCGTCTTCTGAGCTCACTCATCTCCTCCGTGGTC